GCAAAGCTTTCTCATCATTCAAGGCCATATTCACATATCAAGGCCATATTTGAAGTGCTTACTTTTCCAGCAAGCCTTTCCTGTTACCCTGTCAGAAATGGCCACTTCTCTTTGTGAACTTCCAAGACCCACTGTTCTTCCCTCTGTATCAAGTGCATCTGGTCTTATATGATGTTTATGTTTATATCTTAGACCAAATTGTGAGCTCTCCAAGGGCTGAAATTAAGGCATTATTTTTTCTTCTGTAAATAGTAAGTACTCAATAAATATTATTTGTTACATTGAATTGACTATCACCAAATTTCACTTCTAATTTATTATGATGTGTTTGGTCAGTGACGCTTTTCAGTGAAAAGAATAAAAACATGAGATGACATCCTTTTAAGTGAAAAGAATAAAAACACTTTCTCCAAGAACTCCCAATTCTGCATTTACTGCTGCCCATCAACAATTCTGTTTAGATGACTTGCAACATATTTATTCATTCACTTAACATTTTTTGGTGAATGTTCTGAGTTTGACACTGTCCTAGGTATTAGAAGGCAAAGATAGATAAGACACTACAAAATAAATAAATAAGATAAAAACAGCATTGTTCCTAAGAGCTTTTTTCCCCCAGTGCTGGGGATGGAACACAGGCCCTGTCTGGGCTATACAAGCACTCTACCACTGAGCTACACCCCCACCCAAAGAGCTTGGGAGTTTTATGAAGGAAACAAAACCAGTTATAACACATTATGACAAGTGCAGCGAGGAAGGCCCAAGCAAGGTGTTAGGGGAGAATGGAGGAGGAATGCTGGAGGTAAACTCATCTCTGCAAGACAGTGGCACAGTGGGAAGAACAAGGGGTGGGACAAGGTCTCAGCTTCCTATCTTCCCTCTGGCCAGTGGTTTAATTTTCCAGAGCCCTCTCTTCTTCTGGAGGCTGTGAATAATAAAGATCTTTTTAGCCAGGCCCACCTGTAATCCCCAGTGACTCAGGAGGCTAAGGCATGAGGATGGCAAATTCAAGGCCAGCCTCCTCACCTTAGCCAGATTCTTGTCTCCAAATAAAAAATAAAAGGGCTGGGACTGTAACTCAGTGGTTACACACCTCTGGTTCACACACACACATATACACATGACCTAATATATTGTAGAAATTGTTGTAAAGGCAGTTGCACACACCTATGATCCCAGTTGCTCTGGAGGCAGAGGCAAGAGGATCCCAAGTTCAAGGCTAGCCTTAGCAATTTAGTGAGGCCCTAGGTAACTTAGGGAGACCCTGTCTCAAAATAAAATATATAAAGGGCTGGGGTTGTGGCTCAGTGGTAACGCACCTTTGGTTCAGTCCCTAGCACAACACACACACACACACACACACACACACATACATGACTTTATATATTGTAGAAATTGCTGTAAATGTTGGGTGCGGTGGTGCATGCCTATAATCCCAGTGGTTCAGGAAGCTGAGGCAGGAGGATTGAGAGTTCAAAGCCAGCCTCAGCAACTTAATGAGGCCTTAAGCAATTTAGTGAGACCCTATCTCAAAATTAGTAATAAAAAGGGCTAGGGACTTGGCTCAGTGCTTAAGTACCCCTTAAGCACTGACTGACTGGTTTCAATCCCTGGTACAAAAAAAGAAAAAGAAATTGCTGTAAAGGACAAAAAATGTATTTCTACATAGCATATAACAAAGTTCTTAGAGAATATAATTCTGCTCATGTTTTTCAAAAAGAAAAGAATTAAATAATGTAGAATTTATAAAAGAAACTGCATATACTCTACTAGTAAACAAAAGTATACATTTGTACAGCAGTACTCCTGGACCACGCCCTCCTGCCAACTTTCCTGTTGCCCTCTAGTTCACCCCAGAGTCCCCTCTCCAAATCACAGTTGCTGCCTTCTTCATCCTTCACAGCACTGACACCAGTCCTGCCCATCTGCCATGTAACATCCTCACGAGCTGGTGGTGGTTCCGTTTCCTCTCCCTCTTATCACAGCCTCATGCAATCCTAGTCATAGCACCTCACACCTGGATGGTTTTTTGACAGAGCCACCTACTGCTTGTATTCCTGTTCTGTTCTGTTTTTTCTAAAATTCAAGTGTCTATTCCTAAAAGATTGCTTTTCATATCATTCCTCTGCACAAATTCAATTTTCTCCTTATAGCTGAATGTCAAGTCCAAACTTTATTGCTTATTATTTAAGATTTTTTTAAAGTAATTTGGCTCTGTCTTATTTACCCAAACTTATCTGGTCTCGGCACAAACCAGTAATATTAACTGGTCTGGCTTTCTTCTGTCTCCTGAACAAATATGCACAAACCCAAACACACATAACTTATTTCCTCATTCATTGTGGCCTCTCCTAGTCCTTAAGTGGGTAGGATGGGAAGCAGCAGTCATAGATGGACAAGTAAGGTGCAGTTTTAGCATGGTGGGAGAGGTGCCATTTCCTCATTAGGAATGGCCTCCCACACCTATCCATCCTTCAAGACCATGTCAGGGCATGCCTCCTATGGGAAGCCTTCTCTGATTCACTCATTATCTTATGCACATCTATAGCATATATCCCTAACCCTTCACTCTTTGTATTCCCATAAATCAGTGATTCTCAAGGTTGAGATACAAATGGGTTGGTCCCACCCCCCAGAGATTCTGACTCCCTGAGTCCAGAGAGTTTAACAGGCTCTGATGACAGGGATCTGCAGACTATCACTTGAGTATTACCTTCATTAAGTACTTATACTTCATTTCCTTCCTAAGGTCTTTATGGGCAGAAAATGGGTCTTCCATCTCTTTGTGGATCAGCCCCCAAACATAGAGAATGCTCTTCAAATTGTACTTTTGCTCGTTCACAGTGCTCTGCTGTCCATATTCTCATTTGTTGCTTACAACAGCCCCACAGGTAGGGAGAAAGCTCATCCTCACAGATTGCTATGAAGATCAAAGTTGCCACTGAGCAAACTGGCTGGCTTAGGCTCAGGTTAGGAATCACAGAGTAATCCAGAGCTGCTTTACTGAGGAATCTCTGGCACAGCTCCTTGGGCTGGTGTGACTGACTCCCAGCCCACTTTTGTAGCTTCTAGCAAAGAGCAAGAAGGATCTGACAAGCATTGAGCAATTACTCTCTGCCAAGAGCTGGGCTGGGGCATGTATACATTGACTCTGGAGACCAGGGAAGTATAGTAACTGGTCCCCCAGTTTCACACCTGTAAAATATGGAGGGTCAAGTTTTCATGCCTCATTGTGTAGCATATCATAGAAGCGGAAGAGGTGGTCAGGCCAGTTAAGGAGAAAGTGAGGCAATATTTTCTGGAGGTCAAATATGTGTCCAGATACATTGTTCTAGGTGTTTCTATCTACAGTCTCATTTAATCCTCACAATCATCTTGCAAAAGAAATCTCATTTCACTTATTTTAAAGACAAGCCATTGGCCTCAGTGAGGTTATATAATTTGTCCAAGGCCATGTAGCTGGGAAAAGGGAAAGCTGTGGGTAGTAGATAGAGCGGGGATTCCTTGTCTATCTGACCCCAAACCTCTTGTTGGTTCAGCAGCATAGCCTGCTCCATGCTCCACATGCCTCCTGCTTCCTGACAATGCCTAGCATTTTGTTTGCTTATGCTTTTAGGGCCTAGATTTAGGCACTGTCCTGGTCTCCACTCACAGATTTGAGACTACTTCTGGAGAAGTTTTGGTGCATAGGAAATGGTGGGGCGGGGGGTAAACGGGGGAGACCAGAATCTTGAATTCTGGAAGGTAGGACTGTTGGCACAGACTTAGGAAGGCTGGCTTCTGTCAAGTATTTGGAAGGTGAGGGTCCACAGTGCTCCTAGGTCCAGCATCTGAGTTCAGGGAAGCATGGCTGTCTCTTCCCTCAACCCACACCCACCTTTCCACACCCACCATGGATAGGCTTTCCAGACATGGACATGACACAGATCCAGGGGTGGCTCACAAAGATGTGCGGGATCAGATTCAAGGTGACACACACCAGCATATGCAGAACCATATCAATGTCCATGTCCAGACTCATTCACCCACAGAGGAGGCAGATGTACGCAGAGGTCAGCCAGGCACCCCACATGGAGAGCTGCTCAAGCCCACACTACCATGGCATGCACACTGGCTGGGAGGGCACAACCTCCACCAGCCACCTTGGAGGTACCTTGGCAATTTTCAGTTGGAATGGGGATGGGGACAGTGGGCAGTGTTTTCTCCATCATTGCCATGCCCCTCTTCTGTGAAAGAAAACCTCTTTGAACGGGCTCAGACTCCTTTTCTACCAGTTGTCCTTTCTCCAAAGCTCAGTTCAGCTCCCCTCTGGCCTGTGCTTAGAGGCTTGGGGTGGGGGAGGGGATGGAGTGCAGAGAGGAGAGAGAGTAGGATGGGGGAAGGGGACGGATGAAGGGGAGAAGGAAGGGACCCGGGGCAGGCAGGGGCCTGTTGGGGCTTCTAGGCTGCTAGGTCAGGAGGGCCCTCCTTTGCTGCTTTTGTGGCAACCCAGACCATGGGAGGAAGGGGCTGATCCAACTAGTGCCAGGATTCCTTGGTCCTCAAGGAAATGAAGGTCAGGGCCTGGAATTCCTGGGAATGCCAGGGGAGAGGAGGGTTGGGTGGCCAGCAGCCACAGTGGTGGAATTTGGAGACTCCTCCGACAGCGCCAGAGGGGGCTGACACCTGTTATAGCGTCCTTGTGGCCTGGCCCCTTCCCCAGGCCACGCTCCCCCACTGACATGCTTCTTTTGCCCCCAAATTCTTCCTGAGGGGTCATGTGTATGACTGTGAGTGAGGGAAGGGCAGTCAGCCCAGGGGTTCTGGGATGCCAGAGGGGGCAAAGAAGGCAGGAAAGGGGGGCACTGGGGATGACTTCTGCCAACAAGATCCCAGAGGAATGGTTTGGGAAGGGGTCCCTCCTCCTGAAGGACCAGCCCATCTTAGCAGGGGTCAGCCTGCTGCATTCCCGCCCGCCTGCTGTGCAGCAAGGAGGGCTGCCGCCAGCCCGATCACCTTACCGTTTGTGGGGGGCTTCCCACTGTCATCTCCACATAGTAGCCCTGGCCCGACTTGCCCCTCAGGTTGTCCACCATCTCCACAAAACTGCCCCTCCGGCCAGGCTCCTCTGGTTTCTCGTAGGTCTCCCGGGGCAGCCGCAGCCCCAGGGGGGCCCCTGCCAGGCCGCTGCGCAGGGGCAGCCGGATGCCAAGCTGGGTGCCATGAGCAGGCAGCACCCCTGAGCCCACCCACAGCAGGAGCCAGGGCAGGGTTGGGGCCATGGTGGGCCCGGACCTCCTGGGCTCCCTCAGGCCCACGTCTGTCCAAGTTGCCTGCTCCCAAATCTGGGTGGTGGCGGTGGCTTCTCTCAGGAGAGGGGGCTTGGAGGCATCAGGACTCCAGTGCCTGTAGGCCTCTCAACCAGTCCCCTGGTCCAGGTGATGGTCGGCGAGCAGCAGAAATCTGCAGAGCACAAGAGGGGAACGACTGGGCTCCAGGACCCAGCTACATCTGGACGGCGGCAGACAGCCTCAGCAGTGGGCTTGGGCCCCTCAGGGGGCTGGGAGGGGCGGGCATGGCAGGTTGGCGCCGACTGCTGTCCTGGTCCTTCTGGTGAAGTCGGCGGTGTTGGAAGGGGCAGGGGCTCCGGGCTCCTGCACTGCGTTAGCTGCTCAGGCCACCATAATCCAGCTCCTATCTCCCAGCTCCTAGGCAGGCTGGAGAGGCGGAAAGACTTGTGGCGGCGGCTGTCAAAGCCAAAGGGTTTTCGCTTTTCCCTGGGATCGCTGGGAAGTGTAGTCTTTCCATGGCAGGCAGCCCAGCTTCCGGGGATGGAAAGGGGTCTGGTATGCCCTCTGCCGAGGTGGAGTACACCTTGCAGCACCCTGGGGGGGAAGAGTTTCCCCAGCCCTGGCAGAGCGGGCAGGGCGATGCAGTTACAGTGATGGCATACCTCTCACTTGTCATTACTTCTTTCAGCATTGATTGATCACCCACTGTATGCCAACCACACTGCCAGGTTACTGGTGCTACAAAGTAAAATGAATACACACTACATTCTGTCCATTGGGCAGAATTAAGTGATTCCTGCCACAGAGGGGTTACAAACAAAGGATGTGGCATTAAGGAGTAGGACTTTAGGGGACATCTAAGGGAACTGGAAAGATTCAATGGAAGAAGATGGTATTTAATTTGAGCTTTAAAAATGGGTAGTGGGGGCTGTGGTTGTGTCTCAGTGGTAGAGCACTTGCCTAACATGTGCAAGGCCCTGGATTCGATCCTCAGCACCACATAAAAATAAATAAATAAAATAAAGGTATTGTGTCCAACTACAACTAAAAAATAAATATTTTTTTAAAAAAATGCATAGTATTTCTAGAACAGAGACTAGGGGAACAAGATTAAAGGAATGGAGGGGTGTGCTAGGCAGCAAACCACACAAGAAGGGTTCAAGGGGAATGAAGAGTGTCTGTTTTCACCAGAGTCTGCAATCACTAGGCAATTAAGAGCTAGTCAGGTCTTCTCTATCTGAATCTGTGCCTTTGATGCTCTTGGGGTACAAATCCTTATGATCCCCTGATTCATGCATTGTCAGCCAGTTAGGCTGAGGATGAATGGCTGCAGAGAGCTTTGAAGTGTTATAACTCCAAGAATCATCAACATATTAATTGCTAAGTGTTTAAAACAAAGAGCTGTAGGGCTCTAATTACTTAAAATAGAAATGATATATGATTATGTCATCATGATATTTATCAGAAGTAAAAAGCCCTTGTTAAAATTCACTAGTCATTCTGATGAAAAAAAAAAAAGAAAAAAAAACTAAAGGGAAACTTTTAATAAGATAACAAATGGCTTGGGGTGTGACTCAGTGGCTCTGGGGTGGAGTGCTTGGCACGTGTGAGGCCCTGGGTTCAATCCCAACCCTGGAAGGGGAGGGGCATAAAGATAGTGAAAAATCATAGAAAACCTATTGTTATAGGCTAAAGTTATTCTCATAGATGTCAGGCTTAGGAAAAGGAAGGTCATTATCACCACTCTTATTCCACAGAGTCTAGGTAGGTTTGGCCAATTCAATAAGATAAGAAAATTGAACAAGTGCTATAAATGCTGGAAAATAAAGGAATCATTATCTGCAGATTAGAAGATATGATGAAGAATACTAAACAATAAGGTGATTAGACACATAAAAATTGTAAAGGCTGAAGGCATGGCTCAGTGATAGAGTGCTTGTCAGGCATGCATGAGTATCTGTTTTTGATTTTGAGCACCAGAGAAAAAAATCAAATCAATAGACCAACGAATGTATGGGAATTGTATATAAATAAAGATGAAATTAATATCAGAGGAAAAAGGATGCATTATTCAATAACTGTGTTGGGACAATTGGTAATCCACTTGGAAGGAAAGAAAATAAAATCCATGTCTCATCTAAAAATAAATCCCTGGAGATCAAAAAGCTTTATATAATAAATAGAAATAAGGAAGAAATAGAAAAATATTTTCATAATCTTATGTTGAAGACAGCCTCTCTAACAAAACTCAGGAAAAAAACTGAATAGGTTTGACTACTTAAATATTTAAAACTTCTGTACAATCAGAAGCCCTTCAATACTGTTAGTATTCCAATTCTGGTTCTTCTATTTAGTAACCAGAAGACCACAGGCTTGTTAACCTTTCTGTGCTCAATTTTATCATTTGTAAAAACCTCTTAAAGTAAGAAATCAATGAGATAATCCATGTAAAGCTCAGAGAATGGTGTCTGGCATGCTCCATAAAGGCTAGCTATTAGCAGTTTTACTACTACAACTACTCAGAAAGTGACATTTGCAAAGTTAAAAGATAAGCTACACATTAGGAAGCATTTGCTATAAACAGGGGGACAAAGGGTTAATTACAATACACAAAGAGCTTCCACAAACCAATAAACCCCCCAAACAATGTGATAGAAAAATGAACAAAGGGTGTGAAAGGTAATTCATAGAAGAGATTAAAATGGCAAATAACATGAAAAAGTTTGACTTTATTAATAATGTAAAAACACAAAACACTATTTAAGTACCATTTTCTTCCCTCCGGCTCAGATTGGCAATGTGTTGGTGCTAGTGAATGTGTTGGTAAATTACTGCATTTTTTGGAGGGTAATTTGGCAATGCTTATTAAAATGTAAAAAATACGAACTCTTTGAGCATTGTTATTTCTAGGACTCTAGTCCACAAAACAGGAATTTCAGCAGTGTGTACAATATCAAGACGTTGGAAACAAAGTAAATGATCATCAATAGGAGACCAAAAGAGGTGACTTTTATTCAATGACATCCTTAACAACCATTAAAAACAATGGCATATGTGGCAGGGTGGCACATGCCTGTAATTCTAGTTCCTTGGGAGGTTAAAGCAAAATGTTCACAAGTTTGAGGTCAGCTGGGCAGTTTATCAAGACCTTGTCTTGAAATAAATAATAAAAAGGGCTGGAGGTGTAGCTCAGTGGTAGAGTGCCAGTTTGAGCAACCTAACAAGACACTGCCTCTGAAAAAAGGAAAGTGAGGCTAGGCATGGTGGCACATGACTGTAATCCCAGCGGTAAGGAGGCTGAGACAGGAGGATCTTGAGTTCAAAGCTTGACTCAGCAATGGTGAAGCTCTAAGCAACTCAATGAGACCCTGTCTCTAAATAAAATACAAAGTAGGGCTGGGGATGTGGCTCAGTGGTGGAGTACCCTTGACTTCAATCCCCGATACACCCCACACTCAAAAAAAAAAAAAGTGGTAGGATTAATGAGTGTTTTCCTTTCTTTTCATGTTGAATGTCTTTTGTGAAGTCCAAATAAACAGTAAAAGAGAGAGAGAGAGAGAGAGAGAGAGAGAGAGAGAGAAAAGCTCTATCAGTGGAATTTCTGATGTGGGAGATTAGGGAACAATTTGTGAGACTCATCCCCTCATCTTTAAAAAGCACCTCTAAATGCTCACCTCTGACCTACAATGAATGAAATTCTCTCTTCTTCACTGATTTAGTATATTACTGATATTCCTATTGCTGTGTCATTTTTACTATCCCTCCACCCCCCCAAAGACTTGCTTCTTTTCTGGGCTTGGTGGCACAGGCCTGTAATCCCAGTAACTCCAAAGATGGTGTCAGGAGGATCACAAGTTTGAGGCCAACCTCAGCAACTTAGTAGATCCTGTCTCAAAATAAAAAGCAAGAAGGGCTGAGGATGTAGCTCAGTACCAGTGTACCCCTGGGACCAATCCTCAGTACCACAAAACAAAAACAAAAACAGCTTTCTTAATTATATTTACCTAAGGGCATTTGATAAATTGGTTTGCATTTCTGAGTACAAACTTGTAGGAAAACCTGATAAAATGAATATGATACCCACAGAATCCCTTATTTTATTAGCTCTTCCCATGAGTTGGGAACCCAGATTAAGGTACCAAAGTGTGTTTTTTTTTTTTTTTTTTTGGATACCAGCAGTTGACTTAGAGGTGCTTAGGTACCAAGCCCCATCCTCAGCCCTTTTTCTATTTTTTAAAATTTGACACAGCGTCTCACTAAGTTGCCTGGGGTCTTGCTAAATTTGTTGAGGCTGGCTTTGAACTTGTGATCCTCCTGCCTCACCTTCCCCAGTTGAGATATAGGCATGTGCCACTGTGCCTGGCAAAATTTAAAGTGAAGTATTCTCGGGCTGGGGATGTGTCTCACGCGGTAGCGCGCTCGCCTGGCATGCATGCGGCCCGGGTTCGATCCTCAGCACCACATACAAACAAAGATGTTGTGTCCGCCGAAAACAAAAAAATAAATATTAAAATTCTCTCTCAAAAAAAAAATAGAATTGTAAAGTGAAGTATTTTGATGACAATCAAAATCAACTAGATTGATTGTAAATTCATGCGTATAGGGAACTAGAAATGGTGTTTTGAATCCTTGTTTTGTGCATGTCTGTGGTGAATTAGTTGGTGAGCCGTAGAGGTTCTTCCCAGGCTAGTCCCTTTGGCCTCTCAGTAAGACTTTTTTTTTTTTTTTTTAATATTCTTTTAGTTGTAGATGGACATGATACCTTTATTTTACTTATTTATTTTATGTGGTGCTGAGGATTGTACCCAGTGCATCACATGTGTGAGGCAATGCTCTGCCATTGAGCCACAACCCCAACCCCCTCAGTAAGACTTTTAAGGTGTGCGGAAAGGAAGAGAACCAATGCTTTTTCATCTGCAGTGAGGAAAAAGGAAGTTAAATATGAGAAATATATTCCAACTGTCTAGTCTGGGATCTATAGGAACAACTATCCAAGTTCTTTACTGTGGACTAAGTGGTGCAGGGACTAGTTTCAAGAGATAGGAGGAACCAGATACATCTCTAGAATGTCCTCATCATCTCCTCTGCACCTCCTAATGTCTCTACTTTATGTTCTTGTTTTTCTTTTCTTTTTTTTTTTAAAGATGAAATGAATTTAATAATTATTTTCTTTTTATTTATTTATTTTTTTAGTTATCGGCGGATACAACATCTTTGTTTGTATGTGGTGCTGAGGATCGAACCCGGGTCGCACACATGCCAGGCGAGCGCGCTACCACTTGAGCCACATCCCCAGCCCTGCTCTTGTTTTTCTATTGAAAGAATGACCAGAGCTGCTTTTGTCCCTCTTAACTTCTCTAGGATAGACTACATAGAGAGAAAGGAATATTTGCCCTCCATGTAAGTAAAACTAATTATATTAGTAGTGATTCTTCTGCCAGATAGTGAGTTTGCAGGGTCTACATATTTATTTATTTTTTAAAGAGAGAGTGAGAGAGGGAGAGAGAGAGAGAGAATTTTTTTTTTTAATATTTATTTTTTAGTTTCCGGCGGACACAACATTTTTGTTTGTATGTGGTGCTGAGAATGGAACCCAGGCCGCACGCGCATGCCAGGCGAGCGCGCTACCGCTTGAGCCACATCCCCAGCCCAGCTCTACATATTGTGTCCCTTTTTTTCCATCTTCAACAGACTCTTCAAAATAATTGCCACAGATATTATTATCACCATTTTGCAGATATGTAAACTGAATCCTGTCCTCCAGCAAAATATGGATGATAGAAACTAGGTTTTTAAATTCTTGGTCAGGTATTCACTGATTTAATCAGAACACAAGGGAGACAGTTTTTATGTTTTTTTTTTTTTTTGGCGGGGCGAATGGGGTTGGGGGTTTCCATTACTTAACATTCTTATTTCTTTAGTTTATTTAAGGTCCATTCAATGGGTTGATTATTAATGATCACTGTTATTCATCTGATATTAACCACACTACTAAAAATTGATGATCAATAAACTGCCTTGGGAATTCACGTTTCTATAAATATTATGACTTGTCCCCCTCTGCCCTGGAAAAAAATTTCCTTACGCAAATATAAGGCTCTCTTTTAATCCCTTTTAGAGCCCCATCAAGTTTTTTTTTTTTTTTTTTTAGAGAGAGAATTTTTTTTATTTTTTAGTTTTCGGGGGACACAACATCTTTCTTTGTATGTGGTGCTGAGGATCCAACCCGGCCGCACGCATGCGAGGCGAGGGCACTACCACTTGAGCCACATCCCCAGCCCCCCATCAAGTATTTTTGAACTACAACTCCCATCGTGCAACGGGAAACGGTCAGAACTCTGAGTGATCCGACAGGACCTTGAACCAATCCAGTTCCAGAGCTCTAGTCAGGGACCTATTGGCTCTGGGTGGAGGCGGAACCTTCAGTTGCTAGGTTGGTCCCCTTCCGGAAGTGGTTGTTGGCCTCTGCAGGGCAACACCCCGGCGTCCCTGGAAGCGGGGAGCCGGGGTGGTTCTGGGCAAACGGCGCAGAGCCATCGCCCCAAGGCTCCCGGGGTGGGGGACAGGTGAGGACTCCTTCAGGGGAGAGGGTGGTGTGATCTGGTGGCGAGGCAGGAGAAGGAGGGTTGCCGGTGAGTTGAGGCACTCTGGTGTATCAGCGAGCGCTATGTGTAGAGTGTGGGCGGGAATTGAGGGAAGAATTGAAAAAGGAGCGGTTGGGCGAGTGTGCATCTATTCAAAACCCCACCTCGCCCGCTGGCGAGTAGGCGGCAGGGGCCTGGCGGGTGAGTGAGCGGCGGCTGGTGGGGGGAGTGAGGGCGCAGAGCGGTGTGAGAGCTAGTTGGGTCCCTCCTTCGCTCCTCCGGCCCGAGCCTGTGCGAGGCCCGGTCCTGTGAGCCTTGTCTGAATCCTCCTGTGAGATTCATCCCCCGCCCCGTCCCCGTTTCCGAATCCCGGGCTAGCCCAACCTAATGCCATCTTTTGGCCCGCTGGGGAAGTTGGGAAGTTTTTCTTTTTTTCTTCACTGCACTGATTCAAGCATCTCCGTTTACATCTGGAACCGCTCTCTTCACTTAGCTTCCAGGACTCCCTTCCCCCTGGTTCTCTTGACTCAGCCCTTCTCTTCTACCACTCCGTCTCTGGGTGATTTCACCCAAAGTTTCAGTTACCATCCATTCAGCAAACCACTCTTAAGGTGAATCTCTTTCCTGAGCTTAGATCTGATTACTGATCATCTCTTTCCTGATGTCTGGGATCTGTTCCTCTGCTTGTATTGTCTATCGTAGTGAAGGATTTCACCACACAGCCACGTCTACATTGGGAACATTCATCTAGTATGAAGTAAGACATGTCTATATTCTAGGCAGCATACCTACTATGGTCTATTGGACAAAGCCTAGAATCACTATATACTGACTGAAGTGATCTGGTTCCCTCCTTCCCCTCACTTATACATAGGTCACGTGCAGTTACTCTCCTTCTTCTACCCTCTGGCCCTTCCTTTCCATTCTCACAGCCACTTAATTCATAAATATCTTGCCAGGACTTTCAGGCTAACTTCGTAGGCAATTTCTCTGCTTCAGTTCTTGCATTTCTCTAAACTATAAAACTCATCAATGTTAGTCTCCTTTGTGAAATCCTGTGATAATTCCTCATCATGTACAACATCCTTAATCCTTCCAACCTTTTATGATATAGTCCTTGCCTTCCGTTCTAGATCTCTCTCCTGCTACTCCTTCCACTCTCCCTTGCAATTTGATCATGTCAAAGCGGTTAAGGGCCCAGACTTTGGAATCAGATAAATACATGCATATTCTATTGTTCCATTTACTAGCTGAAAAACTGGGCAAGTTTAAAAAGTTTTTTTTTTTTTTTAACCTTGCTTAGCCTCAATTTCCTTATTTGAAAAGCAGTGATAATAATTTCTATCTAGCTGAGAGGATGAGGTGAGATGATGTAAATAAAACACTTAGTACAGTTTTGGAACAAAGGGACTGTTAAGTAAATTTAAACTTTTATTGTCATAATAAGTTTCTTGGCACTCTTTCCTGCTTCTTTGCTGTTGTGTGTGCTGTCCTTTCTGCCTTTAAGTTCCCTTACTCTTATCCTAGTGAGCTCCTCCTTATCCTTCAGGAACCGTCTCAGTGGCCAGATATCTGTGATGCTTTCCCACAACTTCCAGAGTAATATTAGTTACCCTTATCTTTGTGTCCTGTTGTATTTAACACATGATGTAGTCATGTGTTTATATGTCTGGCTTCACATTAGGCCGAACTTGGGTTTAGGATCATGTTTAATCAGGTTTGTAGCTCTGGTATCTAGCATAATGCCTGGTGGGTATTCAATAAATGACTATTGAATTTCTGAATGACCTTATCTTCAATGATATTGGATCTGTCTTTTGGAACAGTATAGAATAAGTCCTTAAATATAGTAGTAGTGGTAATAATCATAGTAACACTTGGCATTTGTTGAGATTTTAATATACTTTAAGCATTTTACATTTAACCACTTCTCACAACACTCTGAGATGCTTTTGTTATTTATTTATTTTTTGTGGTGCTGGAGATTGAACCTAGGGTCTCCCATTGGCTAAGCACATAAACTATCACTGAGCTACACTCCCAGCCCAGTATACTTTTATTTTTGGTTTGACATTTACTCTATGCCAGAAATGTGCTAGACACTTTTCAGATATTATCTCATTCACTGCCAAATATCTTTTCGACATAGGTTATCATCACTGAATTATACAGATGAGATTACTGAGGTTTAGAAAGGATGAAGTACCTTGCCTAAAGTCATACAGCTGGCAAGTGAGAGAGCTGGAATTTGAGTCCAGGTTTTCTGTTCCCAGAGCTGGTTCTTTTATCACTATGCCATATGTCATTTAAAGTATGGAGAGGGATATTTAGCATTGGAAGGGATATTTAGCATGTGCAAGTGCTACCATGGACATTTTCGGTTCCCAAGATTCCTTGGTTCTGTGTTAGTGTGGTTTATAGCAGTAATTGAGCTCCTGCAGTTTATATAAGCTCATTTTAGGCTTGGTTGGAAAAATTAAGAGGAACAAGCATGGCCTTCACAAAAGAGGTGGAACACATGGAAAAGATAATGTTGAGAGAAATATGCCTGTGAACATGTGAAAACTGTGTCCCCAGTGCTGAGGTGCTTCTGGATTGGCAGGAGGTTGGTGATTTTGGAGGAGATGTGTGGATCACTCCTTTTCTGCTAGATTCTGGGATTGGCAGGAGATTGAAGAGTGCAGTTGAGTGACTCTCCCCAACAACTCTAAGGCTTGCAGTGGGGCTCAGGCCAGGTAGTGAGTAGATCTTACTAGGTTTCATCTGATCTGTTGGTGACTGCAACACGAAGTACAGTTGAGGCTTCAGAAGCCATATCTGGAGTGCCATGATTGACTAGAATTTCGCTCATAGTCATAAGCCTGGAGGAAAATCTCAGGACATGACATTTATTTGCCATAGCAACTCTAATGGCTGCTTTCTTGGACTTCTCTAGGTTACTAAGCTAGTCCAGGTTGTTACCATCTCCCACCTAGACCATATCATGGTTTTGTTCCTCATCTTCCCATAGCCATTCTGGTTTTTCTTCCTTCTAATCTGGTCACCATTCTAGTCCATATTCCCAATGGTTGCCAGAGTGATTCCCCCTCCCCACCCCAACCCAAAACCTTTGCCTGGCTTCCATTTGCCTTAGGATAAAGGCCAAGTCCTCGGCATGTCCTGGCTTCTGCCCACCTCTTCAACATCATCTCTAGCTATTCTCTTTCTTGGTAGGTGATGTATCTTACAGAAGGACGTTTGCACATGATGCTACTTCTGCTGTTAGAACACATTTCTTTGAGGAATCCCTACTCATTCTTCAGTTCTCAGCATAGGCACATCTAACCAGGTTCATTTCCTTCAGCACTTTTATCTCATTTGTATTATACATTTATCTGGGACTGCTGGATTGGTCACAGTCCACAGGGCTGTAGCTCAGGGAAGTGACAGTTGAATCTGTTTTTTTTCCCCCATACTGGGGATTCAACTCAGGCCCTTTGCATATTTGGCAAGTGCTCTACCACTGAGTGACATCAAAAGCCCCTTTCAAAAATTTTATTTTGAGATAAGGTCTCACTAAGTTGCCTAGGCTGGCCTTGAACTCGAGATCCTCTTGCTTCAGCTTCCTGAGTAGCTGGGATTACAAGAATGTATTCCTGCATCTGGCAGAAATCTACATTTTTAGTGCCTATGAATAAGTAAATAAACTTGATAGGTGCTCGACAAACCTTTCTTGAATGGTAAATGCTCTGTAGAAGTCATTAAGAAGTATGATCTCCCTCTCCACACTCCTCTTCCCTGCAACTCTGTACCCCTTTGGCCCTGTCTTTGCCCACATCTTTCTGAAGCCAGGCAAGGCAAGGAAAGAAGGTGAAATATAGGCCATCCATATTTTGATTTTTTTTTTTCTGGCAGATTTGTTTGAAATTTGGATGTGCTTGAATTCAGATTTTCCATGTTCTTCCCAGACTTTAAATAGTTAAATGCAGATTATTATGTACATAGCCAGTTAGGGTTTTTTCTTTTCTTCTTTTTTTTTTTTTTTTTTCCCTTTTGGTACTGGGGATTGAACCCAGGGACACTTAACCTATTAGCCACATCCCCAGCTCTTTTTATGTTTTATTTTGAGACAGGGTCTTGCTAAGTTGCTTAGCACCTCACTAAGTTGCTGAGGCTGGCTTTGAACTTGTGATCCTCTTGCCTCAGCTTCCCGTGCTTTTGGAATTACAGGTATGCATCATCACACCTGGCTCAGTTAGGATTTGTGCCATGAAAACAGTTGTATGTGTCTCACGCTTTCTGGAGGTTGGAGTTATGTAGGAATAAGTAACATTTCTTAACTGCAAAATTTCTCAGATTCTATGTTAGTTAATACAGTGCCTTGTAGAGCCATGCTTGATAAGTGCTTGTTCACCCTGATGTTCAGGCTACTATTGAGTCCTACCTATCTGTAGATCCTTTCATTTTCTCTTTCCCTCTTCTCTAATTAAGAGTATTAAAGATCTAGGTAACTTCTTAAGTCACACAGCAGTGGGCCCCATCTGCCATTCTGGTTCCTGGTCCATTTCTGCTTTGCTGTCTGGAATTGGAAGAGTCAGGCCCCCCTTTTCTCTGATTGTGTAGAGGTGTGAGTACCCTACTGTGTATTCGGTATTACGGGTTCTCAGGGTTAGGAACAGATTTTCACTTCAGCTTAGGTCCTGCGTACGTACTTCCTTTCATTTGTCTTCCTTCTTGGGGGCAGCATGATGGGAATGAGAGGGTCAGGGATGGAGTCTGGCTCCCTTAGCATCCTGTGGACTGATAAAGAGGCTAGTGTCTGTGAGTTCTAAGGCAGGACACCTCTGCTATTGTAGTCACAGAGGGTATGTAATGGTCTTTGATTGGTCTTTTGTCATTTGTCAGGGGCCCCACTACAGGAATCTGGGGTAGATTGAGAGTCACCAAGTCCAGCCATTTTCTTTTTTTAATTTTTCTTTTTTAGTTGTCAATGGAACTTTATTTATTTATATGTGGTGCCAAGAATCGAACCCAGTGCCTCACACATACTAGACAAGCGCTCTACCACTGAGCTACAACCCCAGCCCCTCCAGCCATTTTCTAAACATTTACTCCAGGCCTTTCTACTTAAAGGTGGCCATTTTTATGCTCATTGTTACAGGGGGAAGAGTGACAGCTTCTGAAGAAGTGAGCAACAGAACCTGCTGTGCCAGACTCCTGTTGGTCTATCACACCTGGTGTGGCTAACTCCTCCTAAGAGAGGCATGCAGCTTGTCTCTGCTTATCAGGCTTCGGCATGGAAGCTATTCTAGGAGAAAGTTAGTGGGATCTGGGGGTCCCGAAGTGGTGGTGGGACTAGGGGCAAGAAGAGAGGAGCAATTCTAGAACTGCACCAGCTTGTCAGTTGAAGAATTTGGCATTGTTCCATCTGTGAATGCTAGAAATCTTGGATTCAAGTTGGACTCCTATGGTTGTCGGCTCACACTACTGTAACAATATCATAGACTGAGTGGTTTAAACAGTAGAAATCTATTTTCTCACAGTTCTGAAGACTGGAAGTCACAGATCAACATCTGTTTCTGGTAGCTGCCTTGTACATGGCTACCACCTTCTTGCTGTGTCTTCATTTGGTGGAGAGAGAAGTCTGATCTCTCTTCCTCCTTTTTGTTTTTTAAATCTATTTTTTATTTTTAGTACATGGACTTAATAACTTTATTTTATTTATTTATTTATTTTTTATGTAGTGTAGAGGATTGAACCTAGTGCCTCACACCTGCTAGGCAAGTGCTCTACTGCTGAGCCACAACCCCAGCCCTAAGAACACTAATCCTGTCAGAGCAGGGCCCCACTCTTAAGACCTCATTTAACGCTAATCACTTCCTGAATTACTTTCTATCCCATAAAGTCACATTGCAGGCTAGTTTTTCAATGTTTGAATTTTGGAGGGACTCAATGTAGTCCATTGCAACTCCTTTCCATTCTGTCCTTCTAACAGCTTGGTCCTATTAAGCCTGATGTTGCTGTGTTCGTTGTGTCTGTCCCTTCTCCATTCTTAATGTTTCTGCCCTAGTTTAAGTTTTCATCATCTTTCACTTGGATAGTAGCCTCCTTAAGTGGTTTTCCTGACACCAGTTTCTCATTTCTTCAGTCTAGCCATGCCAGTCTTACCAGAGTTCTTGTCCTTAAAAAAAAAAAAAGGCCACTTCATGTCACTTTCTTTTCCCAAATCCCTTAGTGTCTCTTCTGCAGGGCAGAATCAAGGCCTTTTAGCGTGGTCCACATGGTCCTTTTAGCTGGCTTTCCACTCTGGCCCTTGCCATGCATACTGTTATCCCATGTTCCAGAACACCCGCTGCAGCCCAGGGTGATCCCTGTCTAGAATGCCTTTTTTATGCTTCACTGGGAATTTCTCCTTCTGCCTTCTGCTATCACTGAAGTTGTATCTCTTCCCTTCCTGGATTGCCAGCTCTCTGTAGGCATTGTTGGATGTAAATGTGTGACTGTGTAGTAGGGTATGTGGGTATATGGGTATCTGTTGAGATTTTCTGTTTGGGGGTCCTATGCTGTAATTCTTTTTCCTCTTTGGGATGGTGGTTATGAAGTCAAATTCTTTAGAGAGTTAGGCTTGTGGATCTTTTGTGGTTCACTGAATGTTCAACAATCTTTGGGAGGTGCATCTCAGGGAATTTTCCTAGACACAGAACCCGTGAGGCTTGAGTTCTGAGCTGTTAGTCCCACCCTCTATTATTGCTGGTGCCTGCAGAGTTCTTAGCAGAGTTGGCATGTAGGATCTGATCTGACCCAGATGCTTCATGACCCTCTTCTACCTTTCCCCTTCTAAGCTGAGTCACTGATTTTTCTCTCTGGTTGGGGGGGGTCTCTGGGATCTAGGTGTTTGAGCCCACATCAGTCATGGCGGGACGACCCATCCGTATAGGAGACCAGCTGGTTCTGGAGGAAGATTATGATGAGACCTATATTCCCAGTGAGCAAGGTAAGAGGCTTGAAGTATATTGTAGTAGTTCTCTGAGGGCAGGGATTATGTCTGATTTATTTTTGTTCTTGCAGTGTAACATGTGGTACATGCTCAATGCTGCTTACATGCACAAGTGTTAGATCAAAGGTTGGCAAAACTATAATCCATGGGCTTAACTTGGCCTTTTGCCTGTTTTTGTATAAAGTTTTCTTGGAAAACAGCCATGCTTATTTGCTTCTCGGTGGCCTGTGGCTACCTTCATGCTATGGTAGCATTGTTGAATAGTTATGACAGAGACCATATGACCCACAAAGCCTACAGTATTTACTATCAGAACAGAAGAGATTTGCTGACCTGGGTTAGATCAATGATAACTTTTTTTTTTTTTTTTTGCTTTTGGTGCTGGCATTGGACCCATAATGATTAGTTTAAAATGAAATTGTAGTAGGGGATATCATGAAATATAGTATGTCCTGAGGCAAACCCAGTTTCTTTTCTTTTTTTTGTTTGTGGTGCTGGGCATTAAACCCAGGGCCTTGCTCATGCTAGGCAGATGCTGTACCACCGAGTTTAATTCCTTGCTCCCCACCCGAGTTTTCTTAAGAACAAACTAAAGCTGTGTTTTCTTTTTTCATAATGATATTATTAATAACAATGATAACATTATTTTGTACCATTGTGTGCCAGTCTATATTTTAAGAATTTGATATTTATTACCTTTTCTTTTTTTTTTAATTTATTTTTAGTTGTAGTTGGACACAATACCTTTATTTTATTTATTTATTTTTATGTGGTGCTGAGGATTGAACCCAGGGTCTTGCACGTGCGAGGCGAGCGCTCTACCACTGAGCCACAACCCCAGCCTGATATTTATTACCTTTTCAACCCTTGTCAATCCTCCATAAGCTAAGTACTATTATTGTTCCTATGTTATAGGTGAGGAAATCAAGGCACAGAAAGGGTAAGTAATTTTCCTGTAGTTACCCAATTCTACTAAGTGGTACAAAGGATCTACCCAGGTATTCTAAGTCCTCAACCTGTTCTTTGAAGCACTATGTTTTTTGTTTGTTTTTTTTTTTTTTTTGTGTGTGTGTGTGTGTATGTGGTGCTAGGCATTAGAACCCAGGGCCTTGTGCATGCAAGGCAAGCAGTCTACCAATTGAGGTATATCCTCATCCCTGAGGCATTGTTATTTTTTGGAGTGAAAACTCCTTTGAAGTTATAAAGAGTTATGGATCTGGATTCACAAATTTTGTTCACCAACTATGTGGTTAGTAGATGGGTTAGAGTGGAACGAGAACTCTTGCACCCACTGGGAGCTCATGAGCCCACATTAAACCTTGGGCTTTTTTTATAGTTTGTTGTATGTGTTTGTTTGATTGCCATAGAGAAGTTTTTTGTTTTTATATTTTTTGGTACTGGGGATTGAACCCAGGACTTTGCTTATGCCAAGCACATGCTCTACCACTCAGCTATATCCTCAACCCAAATTTTTTAAATTTTTATGTTAAATGTATTATTAGTTCATTCTCATCTGGCCTCTGAATTAGTTAATGTATCAAAGTTAGAAAAGCAAAGCCTTCCCCACTCCAAGGTGAAAATACTTTTCTCACGTTTTCTTCCTAAACCATTAATGGAATACTTCTCTTTTCTTCTCTGATTTGGATGTTGTACTGGGTGTATCTTTTCTTCCATTGGAATGCCTATTTATATGTCACTGCTGTACCCTTAATTATTGAGACTCCATCATAAATTCTAATGTTTACTGGGGCCAAAATGCCCTTATTGGTCATTTTTCAAAGTTTTCTTTGCTATTTTGTCTGTTTTTATCCCCATGAACTTTAGAATCACCTTGTCAAGTTCTGGGTAGAGCTGTGTATGGAGGAACTGTTAGTACTTGGGGAAAATTCTGTTAAATATTTGAATTAATTTAGGGATAACTTTCATCTTTATGAAGTGAAGTCTTTCTACTCAAAATGTCATATTTCTTTTTTTGTGTGCTCTTATGGGATGACTTTAAGTTTTCTTCATAGACGTCTTACTACTTGCTCAGGTTATTTCTTTTTTAAAAATATTTTTATTAGTTGTAGAGTGATACACAATATCTTTATTAGTTTATTTTTTATGTGGTGCTAAGGATCAAACCAGTGCCTCACACATGCTAGGCAAGCGCTCTACCACTGAGCTACAGCCCCAGCCCCTATTTCTTAAATGTAGATTGAGCATGCTTACTCTGGAAATCCAAAACCAAAATTCTCCAAAATCTGAAACTTTTTGGAGTATTTCTGATTTTGGATTTTCAGATTAGGGATGCTCAACTAGTAAAGTCTATGCAATTATTCCAAAATCTGAAAAAAAATCTGAAATGTGAAGCACTTCTAGATCTGAGCATTTTGAATAAATGATACTCAACCTGACTGTTTTCTTTTTGGGTTGCTGTTGTAAATGAGGTCAAGGTTTTTCCAAGGATATTTATGAATTCTTTTGTTCTGTCCGAGTTTAGATATTCTAATCACAAGCCATCATATTCTTTTCCTGGACTGCCTAAGTAGCTTCCTAATTAGCTCACTGTTTATACATTTGCCCTTGTCCAGTCTGTTCTACCTAGTAGCCAGAGTGATCTTATGATATGAAGCAGACCATTTCTAGTGGTCTCTGCTTTTTTTGGGGGGATACCCGGGATTGAACACAGGAGTACTTAACCTCTGAGCCACATCCCCAGCCCTTTTTTATATTTTATTTAGAGACAGGGTCTTGCTGAATTGCTTAGGGCCTTGCTAAGTTACTCAGGCTGGCTTTGAACTTATGATTCTCCTGCCTTAGGCTCTCCAGTCGCTGGGATTATAGGCTGGTCTCTACTTTTAACTCTCTTCTGTATATTCAACATGACACCCTTGCTGCGGTTGTAGGACTCTACATCTGTTCATCTGGCCAGACTTTCTCTACCAGTTATATTGGCTTTCTGAAAGTCCTCTTGTGAGCTAAGCTGCATCTTGCCATAAGTCTTTTGTATCTGCTCTTCTACCTGTCTGCTCTTTCCTTAGTACTTTACATGGCTGGTTTCTTTTGACTTCTTCAGGTTTCAATTTAGTGTCTCCATTGCTGAGAGGTTTTCCTTGGCCATCCTTGGTAAAGAAGTGCCCCTTCACCTTGACCTTCTCTTAGGCATCATTTACTTCCTTCATGGCATTTATCAGAAACTTTAATTCTTTGTCTATTTGTTTACTTATTTGCTGATTTTCTCTTCAATTAGAATGTAAGCACCATAAGAGCAGTGACTATTTTTATCTTATTCATGGCATATAGTGACTGGCATGTGGGAGGCACTAAAAAAAAAAAAAATGATGAAAATCAATGAATAAATTAGTCCCTGGCCAACCAAGTTCTGACTGGTCTTTTGAAAAAAGTGGTTTTATTTCCTAGTCTGCAGATGTCACCCTCCAAATTCTCCACTGTGATGACTCATATTGGTGATACATCTCTGACCTGGGCTATTATCAACTAAAACATTGATGCCCCTTGTATATTTATTTCATCATTCCTTAGTCCTCCAGCGACATCTTCTATTGGTCATTTCATCTATTTTTTCCTTCCCCAGAAAGGTGAGATACCCCTTTATTCAGTACATAAATTTCTCCTGTTCTCCAGATCTCTTGCAAAAGGATTCTAAGTGCTTGAAGCAAAAGTATTAGAGTTCAAAATATTTAGCAAAATTGAAAAAGAAATAATTCCCTTTATGGAAGAATGGGTCAGTTGTTGGGAAGAAGGCCTCCCGAGCTTCATTCACTTTCTTAGCTTAGCTGTCTCCCTGCTCCTAGGCGGAATCATTCTTTGCCTTTTCTCTGCTCCTGTCACATCATATATCACTTGGTTCATACTCTTATTTGTGAGTTTGTAAGGTTCTTAGGGGCTTAGTTGTCTGTATTTGTTCAGAACATGTTTGTTGACTGAATGATGAGTGCTTTTGCACCAACCTTTTGCAAATCTTGGGAAAGCTTATCTCCTTCTGGTGAGGTTGCCCTCATCCTGGATGGTTCCGGTTGTAGCTTTTGGGTTCTTCCTGAGCCTGCCACCATAATGAAGCCTTGGTTTCATTTTTTTTTTCCACCTTTGTTAGACTTATCTTTAGATTATATTCTTGGAAATATGGAGATAACTTAATTTGATTCAGGTGTATCATTTATAAATTGTTTAAGATGTAAGGAAATAATTCTATATGTTTATTATTTATATTTAGAGAAATAATAATTTCTCTTTGAAGAAGATTTTGAAAGTAAAGGCAAAATAGAAAACAGATTGATAATGATTTTTTCTTCTCTCCATCCACTACCCCACTTCTCGTCTCTTTTACCTTTCTGCCCTCCTGACTCTTGCAGAAATTCTTGAATTTGCCCGAGAGATTGGTATTGATCCCATCAAGGAACCAGAACTGATGTGGCTGGCACGGGAGGGCATTGTGGCCCCACTGCCTGTGGAATGGAAACCATGGTAAGTAAGTGGGGGTGTGGGTCACTGATTTGGCCTGTCAGAGGCAGAGGGATCTGGTATTGGAGGTCGGTTTTAATTGGCCATCTTTTCCAAACCTGCCCTCTATAGTTAGGGATAGCTCAGTGCCCTTTCTTTGCTAAGTTGCCTCATGTTTCAGATCTCAATGTAGGCTGACTTGACAGTCTCTGTGATAGGCTTCAGTACTTATACCTAGCACCACAGTGCTGCTATCCTGGCTCAGGTCCTCTACACCAGCATCTGTTTTGCGTGGGCTAAGAAGGGGTTGTTGTTACTCCTTACAGACTGATAATTTTTTTTTTCTTTTTGGGTACTGGGGATTGAACCCAGTAAGCTAAATCCTTAGCCCTTTTTTAATTTTTTAAATTTTGAGACTGAGTCTTGCTGAGTTGCTTAGAACCTCATTAAGTTGCTGAGGCTGGTCTTGAACTTGGGATTTTTTTTGTCTCAGCCTCCTGAGTCTCTGGGATCATAGGTCTGTGCCCCTGTGCCTGGTGCCCACTGTTAATTGAACATGACAGTAGTATCTCCTTAGCATGTCCAGAATGGTTGCTGGTGCCAAAGAGTTTGTAGTGAGGCTGCCTAGACTGGCAAAGCATCTCTCTCTCTTGGCAATCCATGGCTCTGCCATCTCTGAATTTGTGTAACCTGTTAATGAATATTTCACATTTGTGGATTCACTGATCTTTTTAGAGCTCTTTGGATTATGAGGAGCACAGCTTATTCAGTTTATCTCATGGAAACTGGCTTTGGTGAAGAAACAGTGGCTAAGGAGAGAAAGCTGCAGGGTACCATGTCACTGTTGCTCACTCTTTCTCCAGAGGACTGCACTACCACCACTCACAGTGACACTGTTTCCTGTGCTATATGTCTGCTCTGTCTTCTTTAGTTTCTTTTCCTCATTACATGCACAGAGCTCATAAGTTGTCTCCCTGAAGTGAGTGCCATAAGTTTACTTCCCACCTTAGAGTGGATTTTCCTATGATTGTCCCAAACTAGTGCTCAGATGTCTTAGGGGGCTCCCCTCTCAGAGGGTAAGGTGCAATTTGGGAGATAAGGTGTAATCATCTTGTTCTTACCCATATCATTTAATGCGATGGCTATATTCCAAAATGGCAATTGTTGCATTACTCTTCTCGGCTGAAGGATTATAATCCTTTTAGCTTTTCTTCACATGGCAGCCTTCTTGTTCTCTTGATCTTTTTAGCTGCCTCTCATTGGACTTTCTCCAGTTTTTCATGACATCTTTCTTATAGGAAATCTGTCAGCACTTCACACAGTATTCCAAGTGCTGAGAACTCATGATTGTATTTATAGGATAACCTTATAGGATAGTGTTTTGTGTTGTTTCTAATACACAGTCTGAGGGAAGGTAGGAAACTGTTACTGGTTAAGAGCCATCTGTGTGCCAGACTTTGTGCCACTTGCTTTCATGTACCTGCCAGGGTTGTCAGTGTTTCATTGTGCTATAGGGGGAACATGAATTGTTTTTCATTTTTAAAAATAATTCATACATGTCATCTTCTCCCTTTCTCAAGGTCATGACTATTAACTGGTAATTCCTTCCATACTTTTCAGTTCTCTCCACCCCCAGCTCCCCTTCCACACCTTCTAAAATCCACACACCCCACACATTTTTTTTAAACCTAAGTGTTATATACTCTGCTCTTCTATGTCAATTCATGTAGGTCTACTTTTTTTATTGGCTGTGTAGGTATTCTACTTTCCCAAGCCCTGTGGTGCTTGGGGTCGAACCCATGGCTTTGCATATGCTAGGCAAGCATTCTGTCACTGAGCTATATTTGCTACTCAGCTGTATCACGTTTTTTAAAAAGTCTTGATTTAGTTAATTACTTTAATATTGAAGGACATTTAGAGATTTTTTTTAGAGTGACCATGTATAGGAGCATCTTTTTCTGAAATTTCTGATCTCTTCCATTGATCTATTTGTCTCGTCTTTTCACAAGTACTATTCTTTTTTTTTGGTGGGCCGGGAGGGGAGTACCAGGATTGAACTCAGAGGCACTTGACCACTGAGCCACGTCCTATTTTGTTTTTTATTTAGAGACAGGGTCTCACTGAGTTGTTTAGTGCCTCACTTTTGCTGAACTTTGCGATCTTCCTGCCTTAGCCTCTGAGCCGCTGGGATTACAGGCGTGCGCCACCTTGCTCAGCACTATTCTATCTTGATTACTGTAGCTTTATAATAACTCTCAAAATCATTTAGGGTAAATCTTTCAACTTTGTTCTCCATTTTCAAAGTGATATTCTAGGTCCTTTGCATTTCCATATGAATTTTAGAATCAGCTTGTCAGTTTCTTGGTAGGATTTTGATTGGGATTATGTATCAATCAGTTTGGGGACAACTGACATCTTGAGCAATATTGGATCTTTCAACCCATGAAATGGTCTGTTTTCCTTTATTTAGGTTTTCTTTAATATCTGTAAGAAATGTTTTGTAGATTTTTGTACATGTCTTGCCTATCTTATCAGATTTATGTCTGAGTTTATATTTTTGATGCTTCTATAAGTGGTATATTTTCAATTTCTGGTTGTTCATTGCTTTTTTATATGAATAAAATTGGTTTTTGTGTATTGATCTTGTGGTGTGCAACCTTCTAAACTCAATTATGTCAGGTCTAGTCGCTTTTAGATTCCATAGGATTTTCCGCAGAGATGATCATGTCTTCTGGGAATAAAGACATTTTCCCTTCTTCCTTTCTTATCTGATTAGCCTTTATTTCTATTTCTTACCTTACTACACTGACTTGAGCCTTCTGTATAATTAAATAGAAATGGTGACAGAGGACATCTTTGCCTTTTTCCTGCTCTTAAGGGGAAAGCATTCAGTCTTTCATCATTAAGTAGATGTTAGCTGTAGGCTTCTTGGAAATGCTCATTGTCAGGATGAGAAAGTTTCCCTCTATTCCTAGCATACTGAGAGCTTAAAACAGGAATGGATGAATGGGTGGTAGATTTTATTAAATGATAAGATCACATAGTTTTCTTTTCTTTCTGTTCATATAGAAAATTATATTGATTTATTTTTGAATGTTTAAATAACCTTATATTCCTGGATAAACTCCACTTGGTCATGATGTATTACTCTTTTTATATTTTATTGAATTTGACTTTGTAAAATTTCATTAGGTATTGTTCCATCTATGTCCATGGGGAAAATTGGTGTATAGTATCAGTTTTTTCCTAATAATCTGTCTTATTTTAGTATAGGTTAATACTGGGTTCTAAGAATGATTTATGAATTTCTTCCTCTTCAGTTTTCAGGACACATTTCAGTAGGATTGGTATTTTTTTCTTCTTTAATTTTTGGGAGAATTTACCAGTGAAATCATCTGGGCCTGTAGGTTTCTTTATGAGAAAATTTTAAACTAAAAATACATATTCTTTAATAGATATAGGATTATTCAGTATATTTCTTCTTGAATGAGCTTTGGTAGCTTGTGTCTTCCAAGGAATTTGTCCACTCATCTATTTGTTTTTTTGGTGGTACAGCGGATCGGCCCAGGGCTTTGTGCATGCTAGGCAAGTGCTCTCCTGCTGAGCTATTTCCCCAGCTCCCCTATCATTCTTTTTTTTTTTTAATTAGTTACTGATGGACCTGAATTTATTTATTTGTTTATATGTGGTGCTGAGAATTGAACCCAGTGCCTCACACATGCTAGGCAAGTGCTCTACTGCTGAGCCCCAGCCCCAGCTCCTCACTATCATTCTTGATACTTGTTATTTGTATACTCTATCTCTGATTACTCTGGATAGAGGTTTATATATTTTGTTGATTTCTCAAAGAACTAGCCTTTGGTTATATGAATTTCACAGTTTTTTTTTCTTCCTATTTCATTGATTTTTCATGGAATCTTTATTATTTCCTTTCTTTGATTTATTTTGGGTTTAATTTGCTCTTTTTCTAATTTCTTAGGGGTGACACACTGTTTTAATTGTCATGGTTATATGAGTTAATATTTTGTTAAGGCTGGTCTTTTCTATATGATCTTTAATTTTTTTTGGGGGGTGCTTGGAATTGAACCCCAGAGGTACTTTTTACCACTGAGCTACATCTCCAGCCTTTAATTTTTTTTTTTTTAAGACAAGATCTTACTAAGTTGCTGTGGGTCTTGCTAAGTTGCTCGCAGAAGCTTGGGAGGCTGAGGCAGGAAGATCTTGAGTTCAAAGCTTAGTAAGAGTGAGGTACTAAGCAACTCACTGAGACCCTGTTTCTAAATAAAATATGAAATAAGGCCAGGTGTGGTGATGCCTCCTGAGTTGCTGGGATTACAGGTATAATTATACTGCACACTGCTCCCATAATCTATTAATGTGGTGAACAACATTAGTATATTTTCTAATGTTAGAACATCTTGAAATTTCCGGAATAAATCCTAATAGGTCATAGAACGCCAGTTTTAGGTAGTGTTGGATTTAGTTTGCTAGTATTTTATTTATAATTTTTGCAGTTATGTTTATAACAGAGATTAACCATATATTTATTGTGTTGACTCTTTGTGATTTTATTATCAAGGTGTTTTTGCCTTAAAACATTATTCAGGGAGAGTTTCCTGATTTTTCTTTGTTGGAATAGTTTGTTTAGGATAGGCTTTTTTTTTTTTTTTAATATTTGTTTTTAGTTGTAGAGGGACATGACACCTTTATTTTATTTGTTTTTTCTTTTTATGTGGTGCCTCGGATCTAACCCAGTGCCTTATGCATGCTAGGCAAGCACTCTACTACTGAACTACAACCCAGGCCCTTAGGATAGGCTTATTTTTAAGTTTGTTTTTCTATTCTTTTTTGATATACACAACAGGGTATATTTTGACATATTATACATACATGGAGTATAACTTATACTAATTAGGATTCCATTCTTGTGGTTATATGTGAGTTTCATTGGTGGTGTATTCATATGTGAACATAGGAAAGTAAAGTCAGATTCATTCTATTATCTTTTCTATTCCCATCCCCCTTCCCTTCCCTTCATTCCCCTTTGTCTAATCCATTGAACTTCTACTCTTCCCCTCCTCCTCTTGTTGTATGTTAGCATCCACATATCAAAGAGAACATTTGACCTTTGGTTTTTCAGGATTGGCTTGTTTCACTTAGCCTGATAGTCTCCAGATTCATCCATTTACCAGCAGAAATCATAAAGTCATTCTTTTTTATGGCTGAATAATATTTTTTTTAACTTTTTTTTTTTTTAGTCTTAGATGCACACAATACCTTTATTTTATATTTATGTGGTGCTGAGGATTGAACCCAGTGCCTTCCACATGTGAGGCAAGCACTCTACCACTGAGCTACAACCCCACCCACTGAAGAATATTTTATTGTGTGTATATATCACACAATGTGATGATATATATATAGACATATATATTTCACAAATTCTTTATTCATTCATTTGTTGAAGGGCACCTAGGTTGGTTCCATAGCTTAGCTATTATGAATTGAGCTGCTATAATCATTGATGCGGCTGTGTCACTATAGTATGCTGATTTTAGATCCTTTTGGTATATAACAAGGAGTGGGATCACTGGTCAAATGGTGGTTCTATTTCAAGTTTTCTGAGGAATCTCCATATTGCTTTCTAGAGCGGTTATACCAATTTGCAGTTCCACCAGCAATGTATGAATGTGTCTCCCCCCCCACCCCCCCGCAATTTGTTTGAAGATTTGGTAAAACTCATTTTGGGCCTGTGTGTGTGTGTGTGTGTGTGTGTGTTTGTGTATGTATAAAGTTTGACAATTCAATATTTTAATGGCTATGGCTATGGCCCGATTCTGGCTTTCTTGAGTCAATTTTGGTAACCTGTTTTTATTCTGGGGAATTGTCTTTTTGGTGAAGGTTTTAAACTTTATTATCATCAGTTCTTAATTTCCTGGTATGGTTTTAGAATCTCTACTGACTCTGTAGTTACTTACCTTTTTATTCCTGATACTTTTTGTCATCTCTTTTCTTCTTGAATTTTTTAGAAGTTTGCAAGTTGTATTAATTTTCTCAAAATCAGCTTTTTTGGGGGTTGAACCTTCATATTTTATACTCCATGTTTCTTAACTTCTCATTTTAAGAATTTCTTTATCTCCCATATTGCATTCTGAGTTTCTTTAGGTATATTTTATAATTCATTGTTTTTTCTTTCTTTTGCACCAAATCTATTGTTTTACTTACTTTTTTCTTTTTTAATAACTCCTCATTCCTACAAGTTCTATTATGTTTTTATTTATTTTTGCAGCACTGGGAATTGAACCTGGGGTGCTCTGCCAGTGAGCTCTATTCTCAACCTTTTTATTTTTTATTTTGAGGTAGGGTCTCTTCAAGTTGCCCAGGCTAGCCTTGATGGTGATCCTTCTGCCTTAGCCTTCCGAATAGCTGAGATTACAGATGTGTGCCATTGCACCCAACCTTTCCTTTTTTTCTTTAGAATTCTTTTCTTTCATTATGAATTCCACCCCTTTTATCATTGTCATAATTTTTTTTTTTCAGTGCTGGGAATTGAACATAGGACCTTGTACATGCTAAGCAGACACTCTACTACTAAGTTATGTCCCCAGCCCACTATAATAATTTTAAATGTTATTTTTAGTTTTCTTTTGATTATCCTACTATCTCAAGTTATATGGTATACTGATTCTTCTTATTATTATATCTTCTGATTTTCCCTCATGTTGAACTCTTTTCTCACATGGTTTGTAATTTTTATTGTGAATTTTGTGAATTTATTTCCTATGGGGATTATTTTCTGTGAGAGTCTCCTTCCTCACTTGTTGAGTACCTTCACAATTGCTTCTCCCAGGGGTTTTTCAGTAGTTTAAGACTAAAGTTTTGTATTAATTTCCTGACTTGGCATGTTTTGGACTCTGTTTATATGTCCTGAAGTTTCAATTTGTCATAAGATCTTCTCTGTCTGTCTAGATCCTGGAGTGGGCCCCATACTCATTTGCTACTTCCATGACCTACTGGGTTCTTTTTTTTTTTTTTGTGGAGTTAGTGTTCTTAAGAGCCCCAGATACATGCAAGGGTCACAGTTCTAATTACCAAATTAATCAAGACTTAAGGCCACATTTCTGTCCCTAAATTAACATTAAACTCCAATTTCCTGGGACCTATATCCAAATCAGATACTAATGTTGGCTTCTCAGTTCTATATTTATTACTTGGGCTTCTGGGTTTCTGTTTCTTGCACCTGAGAATTTTTCTTTCTGGTTGAGTTTGAAAAAAAATTTTTTGTTGTTGTATTATATATTAGTCCCATTTTTATCTTTGTTGGCAGGGAAATGTCATCTGTTTCCTTCAGTTTAGCTAAGCATGTTGCTTGAAGTTTTGTATGTTTCTTTCAAAGAAATTTCTGGAGCTAGGGATGTAATTCATAGTAGAGTGCTTGTTTAGCATGTGCATATTATTAATTAAAATTTAGCAGTCCTTCTAATAACACATTTTATTATTCATGTAGAAATATTATCAATTAAAAAATTGCCAATCCAAAATCTGCCAGATAAATTAGTCTGTCATTCTTAAATTTGGCCTTCCATAAAGCTTTAGAGCATGGATGGACACATGCATCCAAGTTTTTTTGTATCTGTGTAACAATAGTGGCCTTTACTACCATTTTCATTTGGATCATCATTTCCATCTGATGCTAGAACCATAACACTGCGCTTATAATAGCATTCTAGGCTTTTTTTTTTAAGCCTGTTTCTTGCCTATTACCTAGTTAAAAAAAAATCAGTTATGCAGTGACCCTAACTCTCAGTGTCAATTTTCTGTTATTAGTCTGTTTCTATTACTATAATGAAATACCTGAGGCTGGGTGCCTCATACCAGCTCAGGGATCCCATGAGAACTAACTTAATGCCTTCTAAGGAAAGTTGCTCCAGTGATGTAACCATCTTCCACTAGGCCCATTCTCTGAAGAGTTCAACCACCTCTCAGTATCACCACACCAAATTTCCAACTCTTGAACTTTCCAGGGACATTATGCATCCAGACCATAGTACCCCTGATATTTCCCTGTCTGTTTCTGGAAAATGTTCCCTTTTATTTGAATTAAAGATTCAACTTGTCAAATTCATAAGGAGCCTTATTGGGATTGTATTGGATTCATATATTAATTAGAGATAATTGGCATCTTTATAGATTTGAATCTTAGGGACAATTGTTTTTCCTTTTTCAGTAAAGCTTTGTAAAGATTTTACACGGTTTGTACTCATTCCTGTGTATTTTATCTTTTATATTGTTATTGGGGATGGGATTCTTTTTCCTGTTCGCTGTCCTAATAGATTATTGTTAATTATTAATCTGTTTCAACATGGACAAGTCCAAAATAAACCATTCATTTTGGTTTATTTTGGACTTGTCCATGTTGAAACAGATTCTCCTCCTTTATTTTCTTCTGTTGGGTTCCCCGCTACCTTGGGTTATCACTTCTTGTGAGTTTAGAATCTTCTACAAAACCAGAGCTTTCACATTTTTCTTCTTCATACTCTTATTAAATATTAAACAAGGTCTACTCTATTCCTAGATGACATAATGTTTATATTTCTCCATCTAACTAAAACCAAGTTCATTTCTACTCCAGTCTAATATTAATTTCCTGGAACTACAGTGATTATATGTCTTCATCTAGAGAAATCCTTAAGTATTTCAGTCCATTGTTCTATATCTAAGTGAACTCCTTAATCTTAGCCAATGGTGCCCTTCGCCCTTCAATTTTGTGTTCATTCTTTTCCCTCCTATCTCCCTGCTTTCCTTCTTCTCTTCCTCCTGCCCTTTTTCTTCTTCTTCTTCTTTTTTTTTTCTTTTCTTTTTGTCCTAAGTAGCCTTGGCCTGAGCAGGGACTAACTTCTGAATTCTGCTCATCCCCAGCCAGGACATCACAGGTGATATTTATTATTTCAACTTTGCCAATGGGCAGTCCATGTGGGACCATCCGTGTGATGAGCACTATCGGAACTTGGTGATCCAAGAGCGAGGGAAGCTGTCAACTTCTGGGGCCATTAAGAAGAAAGACAAGAAAAAGAAAAAGGAAAAGAAAGAAAAGAAGGACAAAGAGACCTCCCAAAGTCCCCTGGTGAGTCAGTGGGTGCCAGCTTCTAGAGAGGCCAGGGCTGAACTGAGGGGATGGGGAGCCTGTAGTTGTCTTCAGCCAAGAGGTGAAAAACAACAATAACAATACATTCTTGATGCTACATCTTCTAATTTTCTTTCAGCTTCTAGCAGTCATTACTATCTTTAAACAATTCTTTCTCTTTCCATGGGAACCTGGGTTACATAATGAGACTGATGAGAGTGCCTGCTCTGCCATATATTGTTGTCGTTTTTCGATAGTCTAAGAGGTGATGGCATCTGCTGCTTTGGAAAGTGGGGATGGGGGACAATTGATAGAAGCCAGTGGGCCTAGACAAGTGAGTGCTTTCTCTTCATGCAGAGTCAAGCTTTTCTAGTGTGGGCTCATCACTTGTCTTCAAGTGGTGTGAGTTAAGTTATCAGAATACCAGTACCTTCAAGATTCAGAAGCAAAGCTTTGTGCTTTTTGCATTTATGGCTTCCTTTTTTTCTTGGTGTCTTTGGTTAGTGGTGGGTAACAAATTTAATTGCAGTGTGATCACCATGGTCTTGAGTAGCTTTTGTGCTGAGTTCAAAGTGCTCTTATCCATTGTTGTTTTATTTGTCTCTGCAGCGTGTCTGAACTTATGAGGCAGAAGTTATTACCCTTGTTTTATAGGGAGAGGAATGGAATTGGAGCTTTACAGGAGTGAGATCTGAGCCCTTCCTGTCTGCTATTGGTGCCGCCACTGAGCCTTCTTCCTTTACCCATGCCTGGAACTTGTGGGCACATTGAGGAAGGAAGGCTCATGGAAACTCAGTTCAGCCAAATGAGGAGAACCAAGAATATTTTTCCAACCTTCTCTGTGGTCCAGTTGTTTTGTCCTATTGTTTATAGTTTTTATTTCCTGCCAAAGTCTGGTGCTTACTTCTCCATGAAGATTTTCATCTTTTTTTTTTTTTTGTATGCATGCTAGGCAAGGACTCTACCACTGAGTCACACTCCCAGCCTTGTTTTCTTTCCTATGGTGTCAATTCTGGTGCTGTACAGTTGCTGATTAATTTAGCTTCTTTATCATGTTAAGCTTTGTTGATTACCCCCTCTCCCACATATCACTCATGGTTCTGAGAAACTAGATAACAAGTTCATTTCTCTAGATAGAAGAGGACAGTTAATTTCCAAATAGGTTGAATTTTAAAATCATATGTTTGAGAGGCAAAAGGTAGGTTTTTACTTTCGTGAAATTATTTGAAATGATAATCAGGCATCCTGCAGGTGCTGACATGACTGAAGGTGGGACAGGGAATGTAGTGTGGGTTCTGGGGAAGAGGCTTGGTGACAGACTGAGTCCTGGCTGTGTGTCTGAATTCCTGGAGCTCTCTGTTAAAAAGAGCTCCTACTGTGATTTCAGGAAATGAGGATGACTGGACAGCCATGAACCCTCAGTCTGATTCTTAGGGCTCAGGACAGGCACCTCAAGCTTGTCTAGGGGACAGACTTGGTGGGCAACCCAGACTTAGGTGGCTTGGGCCCTATGGATGTGTGCACTCTTAGCTGGGTGTGTTTAGTGTGAATGTTAGCAGAGAGTGGTTATTTTTCAGGGTTTTTTCTATGACTTTCTGAGTATCTCACTGGACTGAGTTTCCAGGGTTCAGGGCACTGGTTGTTTCTCCTCTTCTTTTCCACTTAGGCAATTTCTAGAAGTCTTTGATAAAATTGGCAGATTTTATAAAATTAACCAATCACAGAACTTGAGAGCTAGATTGCATCTTGGAGATAACCTGGCTGGTGATTTTCAGAGTTTTGTTAATAGTAAAGCCCTGTTTTCAAATCAGTTCTCTACAGAGGTTCAGCTTATCAAAAAAGAAATGAAGCTGCTCTGGTTGAATTTGGGAATGTAGGTCTGGGTGATGCCTTTTCTTTGTCACATGCATACTTTGTAGAGCCCTGCCTGTGCTGAGTCCCTCAGGTTCCATGGATTATGGTTTGCAGGAAGACATTGATCTAGTCCAGCCTGCTCTGTGTAAAGAAGAAAACTGGAGCCCAGAAAACAACATTTTCAGCCCAAAGGAGTTTTTAGCTTTTCTTCCCTCTTTTGATTTCTGCTTTACTTTAAATGGAGGGTGGTTTTGTGCTAAGTGCTTAGCAAGGGCTGAAGTAGCAAGTATAAATCAGAAGTGCTTTGTCTTAGTTTTCTCTGCATGTTTATATATCCATTTAGGAAATACAGCCTGATCAGGGACTTCTACCTTCTTCCTCCTTTCTTCGTGGCCCATCCCATCTCCCAGCACCTGGGCTTGCTGATTTGGACCTAGACCAAGAGATGCAGGCTAGAAGTGAGGGCTCCTTTAAGAAAGGGAAGAGCCCATACATGCTGGGTGACACCTCTCGGCCTCTCATGGGTGCCTTCCCCGGCAAACTGCAGCCACTCTCCAAAAATCAAGCTTCCCGAACCCACCAGATCTTTGCCGATGTGGAGAAAATCTTAGGCAGGGCTCCAGCGCAATGCAGGACAGAATTAGCTCATCAACAGGGTCTGGAGACACCCCAGAAGGCAACAGAGAAAATCTACCTGGGGTTTTCAGACCCTGAAATAGAAGAACTGGAAATGAGGACCAGACAGCAGAAACCTGGTGTCCTGTGCCCTCAGAACACTGGACCCCTCTGGAATGGGCAGGATGTGTTAGAAAGCAGGAGCCAGACCCCTGTCCACTCTAAGCTTTCTGAAGCCATCAAGGATTCACAGCTAAAAGGGGAGCAGCACAGCCACAGCATAACCACACTGAGCTCCACTGGCCCTGCAGGGGACAAGGGTCAGAGCCCCATTCCCTTCCTATCCCCTGAGGAAGAATCCTCCCTATCCCAGTGTTCTTCTGACCATATGCTGCCTATGAGAAATAATAATCTCTTTTTATTAGATAACAGCCCAGCTAAAGACCTGAACTGGCAGGGAGTTCCTGGGGAAGGTGGGAGCCTGGGCAGGGGGAGGCGAAAGAGAGAGTCCCCAGGACTGTGGATGGGACAAGTCTCCAAGCTTGTCAACAAGGATACCCCAGGGAGCTGCAAGGAAACAGAGACCAGTATCCCTGAGGCTCAAGGGTCCTCAGCCAAAACTCCACTGCAGGGACTCTTCATAATACCACCTGATACTGGGACATCAGAAGCAGCCCAGAATGCCCTTAATGGGGCTCCTACCAGTGAGCAGAGATACCCTGCAGGGTCTCCAGAGCCCCCCAGTGAAGATAGGAAGGCGAGTGTATCTGGGGCTGATGTGGAGAGCATCAGTGGCTGCAGCAGCAACCTGGCCTTGCATCTTGGCTCTCAGATCCTGGGTGAGGTAAACAACTTCCCTTGGGACCTACAGAGCTCCCGTGGATCTGTGCCAGGTATGGGTCAGGGAGGCCCTGGGCCCAGAGATCAACACGCCTGCCCATACATGGTGCCCCAGTTGTCCCACATGCAGAGCTCTGCTGAAGAGCAGTCAGAGAGTGATGACTACTCTGAGGATCAGAGGTTCTACCAGCACATCCTTCAGATGGTCAAGATCTCTAGGCGACTGGAAGGCCTGGGGCTGCCTGAAAGCATGCAGGAAATGCCAAGCAAAGACATCGCCAGCATGGTCTGTTGCATGGCTGCTGAGTCTTCCAGGATGTCTAGTGAGGGTGAGCAAGAGGCCATCAGAACCATGGAGAGGGACTCAAGGTTTCTGGTTTGGGGGCCAGAGCTGCTGGAACATCCTCAGGAGTTAGCCCTTGGTCCAGCTGAGCAGGAGGCCCCTCAGCAAGCCCATTGCCAGCCAAACAGCAGCCCCTTCAGGCAGGGGCTAGTCAAGCTGAATCCCAGCAGAGGGCCTGCTGCAGAGCCAGGCAAGATGCAGCTTCTCAACCAGGTAGGCTTCTTAGAATGGCCTGAGGCCTGAGGCCTCTGTGAACTTATCAGGGAGGGAGCAGGTGGAGTCGTCATCTTACCATACCCCTCAGGTCTGCTTTCCTGTCCCTCACTCCCCTTGGTAATTCTTGGTCCCTTAATTACCCAGATGGCTGTCTTTTGGCATCACATGCATTTCACTTTTCTTTTATGCATTGTCTCACGCATGCTAGGTAAGTGCTCTATCACTGAGCCACAACCCCATCCCTCACATTTCTTTAACCCTAACACTCACTTGCAAAATAGGGTTGAGGGAATGTGTGACTTCCCTTCCCTGGATATAGCTGTAATTCTTGATTGTTCACATGCTGTGAAGGTGGTATGTTCTGGGGGTGGGCAAGGTGGTACTGATCCTGACTCTGCACAGGATATAGGACCTCCTGTGATTTGGGAAGCCTTTTTCATCAGCTGATTCTAGAGAGGGGTGCTCCCCAGTAGGCACCTCACCTCAGAGCTCTGAACTTGTGCCTTCTTGGCAGCATACAGAGCTGGAGAGTTAATATTCTCATGATGAACTCAAGCCCATGATCTCCTTCCACCATATGGTGAGCTGCTTCTGCTCCTTGTCTCCCAGAGTGCCCAGAATACTACTTGACTAACCTGTGTTAGGCTTGTGCAGATCCTGTTTATGACGTTACTTTCTTACCTAAGGAATTACCAAAGGGCTGGGCTTGCCCTCTCTTTCTGACCCTTTGTCCCTTTAAAGAATCATCATATTTTTCATAAAGAGGTCCAGTTGGATCAGAGACCGTGGGTATCAATCTGAATTTCCTTGGCTATTTTGCTGTGGCCCAGCTGTGGCTTTACCCAGTTGTTCCCTTTGGTTCCTAATTGCTGGCATGCACAGGTTCTCTGTTAGCTCTAATAACTACTACAGCACTATAAATATCGGATAGGCTGCAGATTATCCTGAAAGTTTTAATTAGCCCGATGGCAATGAGTTTATCTGCTCTGAAGGACAATGCCATGCATGGCTCCATACTCCAGAGTTAATGGCTATCTATAGAAGATGATCAGTGAGGAGCCAGGAATGTATAATTTCCCTGCTAACCACTGATTTAGTAAAGGCCTGGGAGAACAAAGCCCTCAGCATGCCCGTCTCCCTCCCTCGAGCCCCCAGCATGTTAGCAAATTAACCATGTTAGGAGTCTGTAATTTTCCATAAATACAGTGTGGGAAGAATTTCACTTGCTGATATGCTGGAGCTGGTTGAGGGACTAATGGCAGGAGGAGCAGGCCCCGTTTGCTCATAATTCACTCAGAGAAGCTTTCCTGGGCCTCTTTTCTGCCAGAGTCAAAAGTGGTACAAAATACTGTCTTAAAGATAACACTGGGTTATAGTCCCATCTCTGCTCCTCTATGGCCCTGTGACTTTGGGCAGGGTTCTTGGCCTCACCAACGTCTGTTTGCTGACATGGGGTCAATGGCAGAAGCCTCCTCAGATTGTGTGTAAATAAAATGAAACTTTGCATTTAAGGTGTTTAGCCAATACCTGGTGCTCCAGCATTGTTGGCTAATTCTATGATGATCAACTTCTTTTTTCTCTAACAAAGATCTTCTACAGCAGATCGTATGATGGGGGAGCTACAGAGGCTTAGGAGTGATTCTCACCTCATTTCGTGCTGAGTATCTGATAACCTTCCCTGTGCAGAAATAGGCCCTGCTAGACCTGTACGGTAGCCTGGCCCCTGTGCTGAGGCTGTTGCCAAAAAGATGGTAGATCTGAACTTCCTCAGCCTGCCCATCTCTGGGTTCTCTTTTCTCTTTCAGTCCCTGTGGGATTAGAAAGGAATGGAATTTCTGCTTTGTTTCATACACTTTAAGTTTGAGAAGTGGCTCTTGAAGAGCTCTTTATAAATTGTACCCTGGTTTCTGCTTTTGCTAAGCCCAGTTGATCATATGTGAATCCCTGTAATAATAGCAATTCCCTAAAGTTCGTATAGCCCTAGACCACTCACAAAAGCCCCTTGTGTTCATTATCTCATTCAAGCTGCTCAACGAATGTTCTCAGAGGCACAGCATGCACCCTCTTGATCTTGCAGATGCATAAGCTAGGAATCCGAGATCTGTGAGTAGCCATGGGGCTCACACATTCTTGCTCCAGCCTAGTTTACTTTCCTCAGTCCTTGCTGGCGTGAACCTTTGTGAGAACAGGGAAAAGAAGGGACCTGGTCAGGCCACTGCTGCCCCTTGTCAAGGCTCCATCCAGCCACCTTCTTCATCAGTGGAAAGGGGAAAGAGTTCAACTTTGTTGCTCATACTTAATGTTATTTTAATTAAAATAATACATGCCTATAGTAAAAGATCAAGTCAAATAGAATAAAAGATATAGTGAAGTACAGCAGTTCTCCCGTGTGCAGAGCCCACCCTCAGAGGCAACCACTTTTTTCCTGTTGTCTACCTCCATCTTTGTCAATAATGTGCTGAGATCGCTTTTTCTTAACTCATCAATTTCAAAGTTTATCTGTTGAGACTTCTCCTTCTGGTAGATGAGGGTTTTGTCTCTGTGCTCCCTTCCCACATACTTCCTATACAGCTTCTGAAAGGAGAGCAGAACCCCATGCAGCATCTGCCAGATGTAAGAGGACTGTTTATGTGAGATGGCATTCGAGTTATGAGAATCAGGAAACCAGCCTGTGATTTCTCACACAGTTGGCACAATGGTAATTTCTGGATGTTGTGTTTCATTAGCAGCCTCCAAGCGGAGGCGGTTTAAATTTGAGCGGGCAGGATTTAGATGTTTTATTTTTGTATCTGTCTCCGACACTTGCAGAGCCACGTGGTTTCTTGGGTTTGTAATAAGATGTTTTCTGTTGCCCAGGCTCTGGGTTCTTCGTTAGCCCCAGTCCACATTCCTCTTGGGGGCCTGGCTCCTTTGCGAGGCCTCATGGATCCCCCGCCCTTTGCTCTTCGAGGACCTCAAAGCGCGAGCCTGGGGAGCTCAGCGGAGTCCCGTCAGCTTGGAGAACTCCCGCTGGTGAGTACTTTCCCTGGCTTGCAGAGTGTTTAGTTCCTGTGGAAGCTGTGGCCTGTGGATGGCCTGTCGTAATCTGGTAGGAAGATGAGTCATGCCTGTATGAAGCTGCACATGGCCTCTGGGACCATCAGTGCTAATTTCCCAATTCTCGTAGCCAGTGTGGTAGGAGCTGGAAAAGGGAATCAGTAGTGTGAGTTAGATCAGCTTCATGGACATGGTGGGACTTGATTTGGAGACATCTAAATAGAGAGTGGGGTGGACATTCCAGGGTCATTCTGAAGGTCTTCCTGGTGAGTTTCTTGATGTTCTTTCTCTATTTTGGAGCCTCCACAGGGTCTGAAGACTTCTGCGTATACAAAGGGCCTCTTGGGCTCCATCCATGAGGACAGGAATGCTCTCAGCCTCTTGGGCTTAGGGGAGGAGACCAATGAGGAGGATGAAGAGGAAAGTGACAACCAGGTATGATCAAGCCCTCTCCCTGGCCTTGAAACCCTCTGTGCTATTCTCCCCCTTTCCCCCTTATTAGTGCTCTACCACTGAGCTACATTCCCAGGCTCTTCTTTTTCAAAATTATGTTTTCAGGCAGTGTCTTGCTAAATTGTGATTCTTCTGCCTTAGCCTCCAAAATGGTTGAGATCACAAGCCTGTGCTGCACACCTTGCTTGAAAATCTTTTTTATTGTGGTAAACTATGTATGACATAAAATTTTGCCTTTTTAACCATTTTAAGATTACGATTCAGTGGTGTTAAATACCTTTACAATGTTGGGCAATCATTGATACAATCTTTTCCAGAACTTGTTCATAATCCCAAATAGAAGCTCCATATCCATTAAACAATAACTCCAATTCCCCTCCCTGTAGTCCCTGGTAATCTCTAATCTTTTTTCTGTCTATGAATTTGCCTGTTCTAGATATTTTGTATAAGTGGAATTACAGAATATTTTTCCTTTCGTGTCTGGAATCTTTCACTTGGTTTGTTTTGAAGATTCATGTAGCATATATTAGAACTTCATTCCTTTTGAAGGCTGAATAATAATCTATCATATATTTATATCATGTTTTGTTTATCCACTCATCTGTTGATGGATACATGGGTTGTTTCCACATTTGGCTAATCTCTGAGCTATGGTTTTGTTTTTGACATGGGATGTCACTAAGTTGCCCAGGCTGGTCTTGGACTCTGGGCTTAAGTGATCCTCCTGATTCAGCCTCTTGAGTAGCTGGGACTATAGGCTTGTGTTGCCATGTCCAGGTAATTCTGTATTATTTTAAAAATAAATAAAAATGAATTTCCAGTCTACAGCTTTGTTTCTTGTCCAGCCTATAATCCTCTGATCTGATCTGGAAAGCACAACAACAAGGAGCTTCTTGGCCATTTGCGTGGTGCAGAGCTTTGCTTACATTGGATAAAGAGCTGCTTAGTGAGGCCTCTTTGGAGGTCCTGCTCTTGAGTCCCCTGAAGTCCTGCCTGGGCACTGTTTACCTGCTCAGCAGTATCCCACTTCTCCCTCTGTAGTCCCTGTACTCTCAACTGACCAGTTACTTTAGACTTACCACCCATAATCATTTTTGTTTTCAGAGTATCCGCAGCTCCAGTGAGCTTCTTAAGAACCTGCACCTGGACCTTGGGACCCTGGGGGGAGACTTTGAGTATGAGGTAAGAGCCTAAAGCCCCTACCAGCAAATGCCTCAGCCCGGTATACTCCTTCTTCCTTCTGAAGCCCTTCTGTTTATGGGGTAAATGTTTGGAAAGAGAACCAGTTTTTTCACAGGCCTGTCCAGGGTTTCTGGGGTCTGGGGAGGGATGAGGGGAACAGGGAATCCATTCATTTACTCATGTACAAAACAACCATTTGTCGAATGTTCCTGCATGAGGTGCTTCACTAGCCACTATATGTCACATGCACATAAATGAGATATGTGTACTGTCCTCACAGATTGTGCAGTCTCATAGACTGTAAGGGGAAGAAATTACTTTCCTGCACATCAAAAAGCCTTGGTGGATGAGATGACATTTGAGCTGGGTCTTGAAGAGTAGCTGAGTTTTGGACGTGGAGGACATTAGGGAATAATCTAGGCAACTGAACAGCTTGAGCAAAGGTTCTAGGGCTGAAAAATACAGAGTGTGGATGGGAAGAGCACCCTCCCAAATTCTAATCCTTTTCTCTGCAGTCTGTCCCCTGCTGCCACGGGAATGTTCTTTATAAAGAACAAACAAATAGCAAAACTCCACTATGTTGTTGTAATACCTAAAAACCTCAGTGTAGATTTGTACTGGGAATAGAATATTCCCCACTATGTGTTCTTTGTCTAGTGTCTGATTTATTAATTTTTAAATAATTAGTATTTAAATACTCTCAAAGTATTTTACAACCAATGAATTATGAAGTCCACAAGTTAGACTTGCCCACACATTTAAATATGGGCTACAGACTCAGCTCAATCAGTTATAATTTTCACAAGTCTTGTATATTAGATTCTTTTAAATATCTTTTTTTTTTTAGAAAAAGGAAAAAAGAAGGTTTATTATTTTGCTAGCAAAGAAGAAACACAGGCGGCTCCTGTCCTGAAGGCTGTGATTCTCTTAAATATCTTAAATACCTTAAAATCAAACAAGCCACACTCTATTAGAATGATCACAAAACCAATCAGTAAAACTATAGTCCTTCTAACAAAGATTTAAATTTCTTTCTCTGTTATCCCTTATTGTTTCTAAGTCTTCCCCTGACTTTGAGAGCCAGTGTACTGTCTCAAGCCAATGGAGGTTTCAGATGCTGGTGCCGGCCCCGATTTGGTGTCTAAGATCTAAGATGTGGGTGGACCTTTCAAGGTGACCCAATTCTACCTGTTGGCAGGACCCTTTTCCTCATTAGGTTTTGTCTTTTATCTCAGAAATTGCCCAGCTTTTTGATTCTGTATTATTGGATAGGTTTTGATTGTGACTTTAATGAACTCATTCTGTCAAATGTGGTACCTCTGAGTGTCTTGTCTGATTCCTCAGCCTGATACACGTCTACTTTGAAATTGTTCTTTCCATCTGCTTGTTTCCTTGACATGGCAACTATGTGTTCTTCTTGTTCACCATTAAGACCTGTGCTGATTAATGGAATCCGAGGAGATGCTCAGTTTTTTGTGCAGGAGAATGACTGTGGAGAGCAATACGGGTTTTAAGAAGAATGTGCTTTTGGAGAAAAAGGATAGTTTCCTAGAGACTGAGCAAGTTGAGGGTGGAGAGTCTATCCTATTCCTATGTGTTCAGCACCTGGCCCACTGCCTGGAACATAGGAAGCACTTGGGTATATTTTGTTCAACATTTGAGAGAATGAATACATGAATGAATGAATGAGCCACACTAGTCCAGGGCTGGGACAGATATTTTTTTCTTTCCTTGACTTTCCCAGGTTCTGAGTGGAAGAGATCATTGGTCCTTGCTATCAACTAGTAGAATGAAGATCTCAATGTGGACTGATCATGATTCATTTTGACTTGGACTACTTAACTTTTACTTCATAATAGATTACAAATGTCAGTCAAAAAAAGACATTTTCTTCTTGGACATATCCTGGATTTCTTAGAGCCTGCCTTCTGTTGAATATGTGCCTTTTGGGGGGAATGGGGAATTTTAAACATTTTTAATAACCTCTTTAATATAAATAGACACTGTAGTATAATAGGGGAAATGTGTGGAGTGGGCAGTGTTCCACATTCCTCCCATCCTTGCCTCTAACATGGCAACAGATTCAGGCCTTTTTGCCACATGGTGTGTGGGATTCCTATGTTCTAACCTCAGGCAGGAATTAGGGCTTTTTCTGTTGGGAAAATTAGCCATGAGGATAATTGGGGTTTTGGGACAGGCAGAGCTGTTTCTTCCTGGGCCTTGCCCTTTGTCCTTTGAAAATAACTCTTGTCTCAGTTACAGTTCTTGGCTCTTTGGAGCTGTCCACCTTTCCCTACTCCTGGGCATCTCAGGCAGCCCTGGATGGAACTTTCCTTTCTGTCTTAGTTCCCTATCTCACTGAGCAGTCACTTTGCTCATGATTCCATGAGAGGGCAGTAGGATGGCAAGAATACAGCTTTCTCTCTGTCTCCTTCTCCCTGTTCTTCTGCTTTCCAACTTAAGCCTATTTCTAGTCTATTACAGTCTCAAAAGGGAAAGGTTTGTGGAACCGGCACTGAGAACGGGTATGAGCAAGAGCAGGGAGGCAGAAGGGTGGGTGAGCAGGCAGTATGTGGCCATGTGGCCATGTGGTGCTGATGAAAAGCCCATCAGCGGATCAAAGGAGCGGGAGGGAGCCTGGGCTTAGAAATAACAGGATGATGTCAGTGTGATTGGAAAGTGCTAACTATATCAGGGTGCTTTGCAAAGAATTCAATTGAGTGGGCATGAGACCTGGAAAATAAACTGGACTGATGGTTGGCTTGGCAGGGGTCTCCCCAGAACTGGGGCCAATGCATGCATGTGGTGTGGAGCACCACCCCCCTGCCTTATGATCTTGTGCTGTGTGGATCATAGGAGCCCCTGAATTTGTGCTCTGGGCAGGAAGAAGGGGACTGCACCATTGGAGATCTCATGGCTTTGAGGGGGGTGTTAAATATTCATGAAATGGTTCTTATAGCACCCCCCTCCTCTACACCCCATTCTTCATGCAGATGTCAAGATCTTGAAATGTGCTTTAAGATACTCAAGGAACTGGTGCTGTGGCAGGAGGAGACAAAGGAGTATGAGCACAGAGTGGCTCAGGGCAAAGCTGTGTACTCTCAGAGCCCAGGGGAGGAAATTGCCCAGGTGCCTAGAGTTGGAGGGTTCAGGCTTTGGCCCTGGTGTCATGCCAAGGAGTAGGAATTTGGTGAAAGGAAACATGGAGTCAGATGTGATACTCAACTCTCGTTCATCCATTTTTAGATAATCTGCAACTAATGTTTAATGTGTCGCTTTCCCCAACCTCAAGGTGCACCTCTGTCTTGTAGTTAGTCCACATGGGTGCAGAGAATACAAGATCATTTATTTTAATATTTTAAAATTTAATCTTTAGATAGGCAGACTAAGATCAGCCCCATCAAGTGAAAAAATCTTCTTTTTTTTTCAGGGATGGTGGTGCTCAGGATTAAACCCAGGGCCTCTTGCTTGCTAAGTACATACTGTACCACTGAGCAGTACCCCAAGCTGAACATCTTCTTTTGAACAACTTAAGCTTGAGAGGTGGCTAGACTGGGTAAAATATTCTTATATAGTCTGGCTGTATTCTCTCAGGAATAAAGATAAGGATGGGAATCTCTACCTGTACCTGATATCTGTATCTGATATCCCCTGATTGATTGATTGATTGATTTGGTGCTGACAAATGAACTCAAGGCCTTGTGTGTGCCTGGCAAGTGCTCTGTTACTGAGCTATGTCCCCAACTACCAGTTGAAAGGTTACTTATTTTTTCATCATTTGGACAGTTTATTAATAGTTAACATTTGTTAAGTGATTTTGCTTTTTATAAGCATTATAACAAATATAGTCTAATCCCTATATGACCTTGACAAATAAATGTAACATCTCTATTTGGCAGAGTCAGAAGAGAAGCCTAACTCCTTCATCTGTACTACATATTCATTCATAAAAACAAAAAATTTTAATCAATAGCCTTTCCTGAGCATTCATCGTATACCAGAAGCTAGGTACTGAGGAAAATAGGGAGCTAATCTGGTGAAGGAAACAGAAGGAAATCAGCAATTATGATAGCTATTATGGCAGAAGATAGAGAAAACTCATGTCAGCTTCCCTTAGGGAACAAGGAAGGCTTCCTGGAAGAGTTGATGACTGTGAGAATCAGTGTAAATTTGTCACACTGGGAGGGGTAAGAAAGAGAGGGTGGAGGAGAAGACAGAGAGAGTGAGTGGTAGGGAGGGAGAGAGGGAGAGAAAGAGAGAGAATGGTTGTGTTAAAAATCTGCAGGGCAGCGCTGGGAATGTAAGGCCCTAGGTCTGATCCTCAGGAGAAAAAAAATGCCCAGCAAAATAGAGACATAGTAAGATGTGTATCCATAGTCAGGATAGCTGTGTGGCTGGAGATGAACCACGAGAAGCAGGTGGGAAGGGCTGTGGGCCAAGGAAGGAGGTGTGAACTCCATCTTGGAGGTCAGAGGCTGCTTCTGGTATCTGACACCTCCTCTAACTCCTAATCCAAGGTCTATTGCTAGGCAATCCTCTTGGGGCTAGGTTTCACTCCCAACTTCCAGCAGGAGAACCTTCCTTAATTCTGGACTGAGCCTGACTAGGGTGGATTGGCCCCACTTACTGAGCAAGTGGCTGACTAGATACTCCTTGTCCATCCTAAGGCACTTTCTCCTTAGAGTCTGTGGAGCCCCACAGGCCAGTTATGGAGCTCCTCTGAGTGCTGGCTGTTGCTGATATGTAGATAAGGCCTGGCCTCAGCCTGACGCTGCTCAGCTCAGAAACCATGGCAGGTTTATTCCTTGTAAATTGGGGAGCTGGGAGGAGCAGTTCTGGGTGGTGCCTGCCTTCTCAACTTCACCCTCTGCTTTTCTTCTAGGGACAGGCTTGAGGCTTGTGACAGTGTCACCCTTGTGTCCAGCTTTTCTTTGCTTTGGGAAGTATAGGCTCGTAACTAGGTCCACCTTAGATATTTTGCTTTTCTCAGTGTGAACTCAGCTCCTTGAGGGCAGGCAGGTCTATGTCTTAGTCATATTTGGTTTCTCAAGACAGTGTTTGGCACATAGAGGGTGCTCAGTGAATGATCATGTGGGTCTCTTCATATAAAATTAGTTAACATATAGGAGATACTGACAATATGGCAGGCACGGTTCTAAGTTCTTTAATGCACTTCATAAGTGCTAACTAATTTAATCTTTCTGGCAACCCTAGGAGAAAGGTACTTGTGTACTGCATCCTTGTGTTTTAGAGGAAACTGAAGCACAGTTTGCCTAAGAAGAACCACATCTGCAAGCTTGGAGCCATAATTTGAGCCTAGGCAATCTTTCTTGAAAGTTGAACTGTGAACTGCTCTATTTTTCTGCTTTCATTCATCATCCTTGGAGAGCATGCTTAGCTAGTCAGTAGGCTGCCAAACCTGATGCAATGGTCATATTTTTGAGCTTATCAGATATTTTACGAGACCATCAATAAAACTTGTACCTTTTGACTATCTACTTGAGTGAATTAGCTTTCTAGCACTGTAACAAAATACCAGAAATAATTAATTTATAAAAGAAAAGTTTTTTTGGCTCACAGTTTTGGAGGGTTCAGTCCATGATCAGTTGGGTCTATTGTTTTGGGCCTGTGGTGAGGCAGCACATCATGGTGAGAGAGCATGTTGAAGCAAAACTGCTTATATCAAGAGCCAGACAACAAAGAGAGGAAGGGATCAGGGTATACTCCCCAAAGCCTACAGACTTCCCATTATGCCCCACCTCCTAAAGGTTCTACCACATTCCAATCGTTTACCCTGGGCACCAAGCCTCCACCAATGGGCCTTTGCAGGGACATTCCAGGTCCCAAATAGAAACTGTGGACTTTGCTCCTTTTATTTCACATGATTGTTTATTATTGTCTTAAATGAATCTTGGCTTTTAAGTCTGCAGTCGTAAGATTTGGCTAACCGGGATGGAGCGAGACAGATTTATTACTGGAAAACATCCATATCCAAGCACTGGTTGTCATGCTTTTTGTTTGAATCTTCAGGATAAGGAAGTCTTAAAACTCCCTGCTCAGGAGTTGTTTAGCCAGGCAGCCCAAGTGTTAGCCCAGATGTATTCTGGGAGGAAAGCTTCTCAGCATGAGCCCAGGAAGGTCATTGGCTGTATTTCCAAGGTAGGGTTTTTTGTTGTTGTTGTTGTTTCTATTTTGGTCAAACCTAAAGAATTTAAGTTGTAGCAGCCATAGGTTTTCACTAGTCTTTAAAGTGAGGTTTGTGGTGAGAAAACAGGGTATGGCTGCTGTTGAGGTGTGCTGTTCTCCTTTCCAGAGACTCTGCCAAGGGGAGCTTAATAGATTGCCAGCTTCCAGATGCAGCCTCTTCCACCCACCCTGATTCATGCTAACCTGTACTTCCCCAAGCTGATGGATTGTAACATGAGTCTGAGTGCAGGGACCTTTCTGTCTAATGTGGGACTTCTCAATGGCAGCCTGCATGGGAACTCTCCTCTGGGCTGGCTGACTTTCTCATAACCATGCTATGCTTCCTTCCCTGTCTGCATCATGTTCTGAAAGCCCTCCCCTTCTCCTTTATCTTTCATAAACATTTCCCCTAATAAATCTCTTGCACATCTAATCCCATTTTGGCATCTGCTCCTCTGGGGACCAAATTTGACAACCCTGGATGGAGGATGCTGTCTGCAGGTTGCCGATGATCAGCTTTTATAGGGGAGGCTTTGGAGAGGACAGGCCCCCTTCTTTTGTTTATATATATATATATATATATATATAAATGTATTTTTTATTTTTTTTTTTTTTTTTCTTCCCCTGTTGCCTGTGAAAAATGAAGGATAGTAATTCTGGACTTTGTTCCCTTTTTCTCACATGATTGTCCATTATTATCTTAAATGAATCTTGGCTTCTAAGTCTGCAGTCTTAAGATTTGGCTAACGGGGGTGGAGTGAGAACATGATAGATGATGATAGACTTGTATAGTCCACATAAGTTATTTCCAGGCTCATCAGTAGACGGGGCCCAGTCGAGTGTGTCCAAATCACCATAGAAATTCTGATTCAGTAGACTGGGTATGGTGCCAGGAATCTATGTTTTAAAAAGTTGTTTAGGCCAGGCATAGTGGTGCATGCCTGTAATCCCAGCAGCTTGAGAGGTAGAGGCAGGAGGATCACAAGTTCAAAGCCAGCTTCAGCAACTTAGCAAGGCCCTAAGCAACTCAGTGAAACCCTGTCTCTAGATAAAATACAAAATAGGGCTGGGGATGTGGCTCAGTGGTCAAGTGCCCCTGAGTTCAATCCCCAGTACCAACTCTGCCCCCCCGCCCCCCCCCCCCCCCAAAAAAAACCCAAAGTTGTTTAGGTGTTGGATGGCCACTGGGATCAGAACTCAAGCTCTAGCTTGTGAAAGTCAAGGAATACCATCTCCATCTTGTAGCACATCTCTCAACTCCTTTTCTATATTTCTTATGTCTTTCTTTTTGACATGGTCTGTGCTCTCTAGGAGTCTCCAAGAACAAGTCATCCAGAGGAGAAGAAGGATGTTTCTCTTGATTCAGATGCTGCTGGCCCCCCTACTCCCGGCAAACTCTTCAGCCAAGGTGGAGATAGCAGTCTGAGCAGTTCTGGTGGCAAAGAGCCACAGGAAAGAGGGGCGAGTCCTTGGTTTCCAGAAAAAGAAGAGAATAAGAAGAGTGATCCTGGGGCTTCCACAAGTCTGATGACACCTGGGGTGGACCATGGAGGTGATCAGCCTGCCAAGTCCTCTGAAAAGGAGCCACTGGAGGACCCAGTTGATGCAGGAGAGGATTCCAGGAAGGAAGAGGCAACAAATGAGCCAAAGAAAGAGACTTCTGTCCCAAAAGAAAACAGATCAGATGCCAGTGAAGTAAGACCCGTAGGCAGTTGCTGACTGCAGTCCTCGCTGTTCTCTCTAGCTCTGTGCAGCTTCCTATCCCCACATCTTTATTTCTGAGTCAGGAGCTTCATTTGCAGGCCCTGCTCTGGGCTGTCAACATCAGCCAGAACCCTTAATTGTGACAAATATGCCCAGACCCAGCAGGCAGTAAAATCCTGAATGAAACTGCAAACTTGGTGGCATTGGAAATCCAGAGCAGAAATGTGCTTTTCCATTGGCACCCTCTTGGTATATTCATGTTCTTCTTTTCTCCTGTTTACTCTTTCCCTTCCCTACCTCCCTCTTCTAGTCTTGGTTTGCTGCAATCAGAGTTCCTTTGTGGGGTGGGGAGTGTGTGTGTGTGTGTGTGTGTGTGTGTGTGTGTGTGTGTAGGGAAGGCAAAGGTTCCATCGGTGGAAGTGTTCTGCCCCAGCATATATATATTGGATTATAAGAAGACCTTTCTCATTGGCTCTTTCTGAACCAATCCAAAACATAGAAGTGATTGGTTTTGCAAACTAGGCCAGTGGCTAAAAGTAGGTTCAAGTGGGGCAAGCCTTTGGCGTTTTAGGTTTTCCAATCCTTCCTCCTGGTAGTTGATAAAGGAATCCATTTAAAGAGCTTTTGTCTACTTCCTTGAAAAGATACTCCAATCCTGTTTTATAGGATAGCATCAAATTTCTGTACTGCCAACTTTCTGTTTCCACTACACTTGACTCTGTTTCTACATGTGAATCCTTGATCCAGTGCAGGGCATGCTTGTCCATGCCCATCTGGATTGCAAGGAGGCTGATGTGTGTGTCTGGAGAGAATGGCAGGGTCCCTTAGGTTTCAAGAAGAGGTGGATGTTGGTTTGGGCTGAGTCCATTGTTGGCACTATGGCCTGACCAGAATTCCCTGGATAGTGATCCTGACTCTCAGTGCTCTTCTCTGGGGGGTTTTTCTATGGGTCTGTCTCCTCAGGAGTCGAAGATTAATGAGCATGTGAAAGAACCAAACCTCTCTGATTCCGTGACTTCTGACCCCAAGTCCTTCTTTGGCCTGGTGAGTTTGTGATGAGGGGTAGTAGTGTGGTGGGTAAGAGTATGGATTTTCATGTCCACAGGGGTAAGTAATTTGCCCAGCACCGCATGCTAATATGTGGGGGAAGTTGGGACTCAGATTTGGGTCTTGTTAGCTCCCGTTTCTCAATCTGTAACTAAGACTATTACTACCTACAATATAGGTTTCCTGTGAGAAGAAAGTAAGGTAGAGAATGTAAATCATGTTTATATAACATTAAATAAGTGTTAGCTATTATTATTCTTACTGTGTGTGACTTGCCTACAAGATTGTGTGAGTTGCCTCCAGGCTCTAATAGGCATGTTATAGGAATCCAGAAGGTTAGACTGGTGTATTGTGTTTCTGGGCTCACGGAGTTGTGGCAAAGACCAGTCCTAGGCTCTGGCCAGGAGGGCTCCTGTGGTTTCATTTTTGAAGTTAGGGCTTTGTCCTGGAATGCCAGAATCCATGGTTCCTTTGTCCTAGACCGTCCACTCAGCCCGCTGTGTCTCTGTTCTGTGTGCCAGGTTGAATCTAATGGGAGCAGTGGGGGTGCTTTTTGGCCACATACTACCTCTACACACCACTTCCATCTGTTTGGAGGAGGCAGATCAAAGGGAGGGGATTAGTGGGAAAGAGTCAGGGATGGACAGTGATGATACGGGGCGGGGGGGTGGTGCAGAGGAATTAGGAGGCTGTGTACTTTAGCCCTGCACTTAGCTGTGGGCTTAAGAGGCAGATGGCAGCTGCATTATGTGACATAGAATTCAAACTGAAAGGAAAATATCACCAAAAAAGACGAACCCCACAAACCAGGAAGTGAAACAAAAAGTCATTGTTGTTGGCAAAAACTGTCCATGAAGAATAGCCATGTCACCAAACTCATGAACCAAGGGGTCTGTCCCTTCCAAAGCAGGCACTGTGTTGGCAACATGTGCCCATCAGCATTTTTCTTTATGGCAGTGGAGGGAGGAAGCATAGACAGCAGGACCAGACCATGTCTGGGCATCCCGCCATTTATCAGGGCTGATGACAGAACTGTCCCCATTAGCATGCTGTTGGGTAGCAGTCCTTCACTTAGCCCAGCAGGGATCATAGGCTCAGGGGTTTGGGTAAGGCCCTGTGGCAGCCAAAGGGCAGTGAGGAGCTGGCCCTGGTGTAGGTACCTGCTGTCTGTCCCAAAGAGAAGCCTATGAAGAAGGCACCACTAATTAATCCCCATTGTCTAGAGGGGTGCCTGTTTGGGAAGGGGGAAGACATGAATTGGAAGGAGTTTATCAAGCCTCATTTATAAGCTAGTCACAGGTTTCTGGCATTGTGGTGCCCTCGTTGAACACTGGAGAGGGAGAGACAGCTGGCAAGTGACAGACATGCTTTGGAGCATGTATCATGGAAAGACCTTGGGTTTTGGAGTTAGTCCCCAGGATCATCTGACCCCAGCCTTCTTGCTTATCAATCATGTGACCTTGGGCAAATTAAGTATGCTTCCCAACCTGCCTTTGCATCTGTGAAATGAGGACAGAGTTTTGGTCTCATAGGGTTTGTTTTTTTGTTCACAATTTTAGGAAAAAATTTAAGCTGGGCATGGTGGCACATGCCTGTAATCCCAGTGGCTCGGGAGGCTGAGGCAGGAGGATTGCGAGTTCATAGTCTCCGCAACTTGGCAAGGCCCTAAGCAACTCAGAAAGACCCTGTCATTAAATAAAATATTTTAAAAAGGGCTGGGGATGTGGCTCAGTGGTTAAATGCCACTGGGTTCAATCTCCCAAACAAATTAAAAAAATATATATATATATGGAAGAATTAAAGAATTTACAGTGAATACCCACATACATCTGCAGTGAACATTTTACCATATGTGCTTTATCATATATCTTTCTGTCTAGTCACATTTTTATTTTAAAGATTAAATTAGATGTCAAAATTTTAGCACAGTGCCTGGCACATAGCAGCCTTTTCTTAAAGGTTGGCATTAAGTTAGAATTGGGGTAGAGGAGGGGCCCCAATGAGTGCTGACTGGCAGAGGCAGAGTTGACATGATCACCTCCACTGTCTGTAGGACTTTGGTTTTCGCAGCCGGATCTCAGAGCGCCTGCTGGGTATTGATGTAATTTCCCCAGTTCTGGATGGAGCCTGTTGGGAGGTAAGTCTCTGTGGGTTGGTCTAGTTCTCTCTGGTGATCACTTTTTGAAATAACTCAAGAGCTGTCTCCTTCCCATCCTAGCACATGTCTCAGGAGGCTCTTTCCCTTTCCTTAAGGCATGGCCCTAACTGTGCCTTTGATGGGACTTATGACCATTCTTGCCCTGTAGTTGCTAGGAATTAAAGCATACCCGCTTCCCTCATGCATTACTCATTTATCTGTTCATTCAGTAACTGAGGGTTGACCACCTGCTCATGTGCAAAGCCCTGTGGAGATTGTGGATTTCAAAGCATTTCCTATCCTGGCCCATCCATACCTCTAGCCCACGCACCGCCCACCAGCTGGGTCTGCCACTTGTCCTTCCTGAAGCATACCCTCCACCTCCACTGTGGCTCTGCTGGCCCTTCTGTTTCTGCTTTTGCCCCAGCAAGCTCTTTCTTGGTCTTGGAGGCCCATCTCTGAGGCCACCTTCTCCAATTGGGATGGATTATTTCCTCTTTGCTCTCTTTAGAGCCTCTTGTTTTGTGGTTGTTTATGTCTTCCCTGCCAGAGGTATTCTCTGTACTGGGCCATAACACCTAACCCAAGTAGGGTACAAAGATGAGTGAAACCCAGATCTGTCCTTAAGCAGCTTAAGTCAAGATCAGTTTTATTTATTTATTTATTTTCCTCCTTGGTGGGTTGTCTAGAAGAGGGATTCTGGCAGATGGTCTCTGCAAGTTTCAGGGAGCATTTGGTTTGAGTGAGATGGAGATTTGTTGGGTGAAACAAACAAGATGTTTAATAGGAATCTGGCCTGGGAGCCCTTAGTGAAATATGTTGGAGACCGATTAGTTTTTAGGTTGATTGCATTTGAGCCCTTCGTATTCTGACTAATGCCTTCCTGGGCTACTGCCTAGCCACCTCCCTGCTAGATTTTGTTACCCCATTTATAGTTCTAGAGGGATGTGAAGGCACAAATAGAGGCAGGTGGGATTAGTCAGGAAGGGTTTGGAGCAGGGGAATTGTGGGGCCTTTTTGGCAGTAGGTGAGCAGGAGAGCTACCAAGTCAGTAGGGTGTGCTAGGTTCTATGGTTCTGGCTTCAAAACCTGGCCAATATCAGAATTCTTTGAGAGCTTTAAAAAAGTTAATTTTTTGTGAGTCCTACCTAAGACCTAATGAAGATGGCAGCCCTTTTGGGGTATAAAGCAGCAGTCAGATTTGGCTTGAATTTGGTTCTCAGGGGACACTCAGTGGAGTGCAGCCAGCCCTGGCAGAGGAAGTCCGAATTTATACCTCATGACCAGCCTGGTAGGGTGTGGGCAATGATGGGCACTCAGCTTGGCTGACCAACTAGAGCCTTTAGTAGGGCTCAGTCTCTAGTTCTCCCCCATCTTCAGGACATGGAGGGGTCAAAGAAGGAGGTGGAGCTGAAGAAAGGAGCAGCAGCCCCTTTGTGGGGCAGACAGAAAACAAAACCTTGGAGCTGAGTTAAGGATGGGGACACGGTATCTCAAGCAGTCCCCTTTCTGAAGAAAGTTGGCATGGCTGGTTACCTCATTGGGTTCCTTCGCTTCTTTCTCTGTGGCAAAAATGTTTAGGGAGCAAGTAAAACTCTACTCAAAAGATCCCTCGCCTGGGTTTTCCCCCGAGGTATCCCTATTTCTCTGGCAGTTTAACTAGTTCAGTTTCTTGCAGAAATGTAGAAGATGGAACAAGCAGGGGCTGGCTGCAAAGACTCGCTTGACAGCTAGCCCTGCAGTCTGCCTGCCTTTTCCCTTCTAACACTAGACTTATAGCCCCAGAGTCCTTTCTGAGGCAGGGTTCAACCCTCCAAATTTTATTATGATCACTTCACTCTGTTACTTGTCCTGTATATTTTAGTGTGTTAAATGGGGTTGGCTTTTGTGATTTTTGTTTTCTTGAAAAAGTGAGAGAGGGAAGTTTTCCATGAGCGTGGTATGGTTTGCAGGGGAACACATGTATTTTGAACACTGGAAGGAGAAGAGGTGGGGTGGGGAGGCTGCCTGCTCCTGTCGTTGTCTGCAGGCTCTGCCCAGGCTGATGCAATGAGGAGTGGCAGCCCTGGCAGGGAGCCCTTCTGCTCCAGGCACTGAGAGGTATTCACAGGCTGCATTGCTATTTTTAATGTAATTTGGGGGAGCTGGGTTGTAGTTCAAGTCCTTTTCTTTCTCGCTTATCCAGATGGTAGAGTCAGCCACAGCTGCTGGGGCTCAGGCTGCCAGTAGAGAGGTGTTGGGGGTACTGGGCACAGGGCTAGGGACCCCACTGGGGAAGACGGAGTGAGCTGTCTCCTGCCCCACCTCTCCTGTTGACCCCTGTGTCCCAGAACAGACGGGGCTCCTGTTGGGGTGACAGAAGGACTGTAAATCCCAGAATGGGGACTGGCACTGGCAAAGCCTTTTCTTTTCTTTTTTTTGCCTTTGGCTGGGGGAGAGGTGTGTGGGAAGAGGAGCTAGCATTTATGGCATGCCTTCTTTGGGCCAGGAGTTGGGCATTATGTGCATGATCTCATTTAATTCTCACCAGAAGCCCTGGGAGCTGTGGTTTACTATCCCATTTTACAATGGAAGAAGTGGGCTCCCCAGGCAGGAAACGAGGAAGGGCTAGAACAAAGGATAGACCCAGGCTGACTACACCACTGTCCACCTGTGGGAAATATTTTAAATTGTCAGGCATAGTGTCTGTCTGTCTGACTCTAACTAGCTTGCTAAATTTGTCCAGACACCCAAACTTTAAAATAAATTTTAGGGCTTATTTCTGAATGGATGATATAATCCCTGACTGGGAAAGGGGCATCTTTATCTCCTGACCCATGTCCTTGGGCAAGCTGGAAGGAAACTGTGGAAGGAATGTTAATGCCTCCTTTCTTCTAGTATGATGATGATGATGCCCTTTTGGTCTGGGGTAAATCTGCTCTTATTCTACCGAGATCCCTGTTCTCCAGGAGTCTTCCTTTCTGATGAGCTTGCCTGCTGCCCTTAATTTTGCCCACTTAATTTCAGCATCCTTGTGTCACTGGTGCTGCTACCTTGGGCTTTGGTGGTTGTGGGCTGTTTGTGGATACCTCTGTTGGTGGTGTAGGCTTCCAGCCATAGGAGGCAGGGTTTTCTTTCTTGTGTGGTCTTTTTCTACCCTTGGCTTCTGACTCTGCCACACTGGGTTTGTCTGCTTCCTCTTCCAGCTGTAAGTCTAGGACTTAGCCAAAGCCCAGGAAGCTTTACTGGACAGTAGACAGGCCTTCTGCTTCCAATCCTCCAGAGAGCCACCTCTCAGTGCTTTCTGCTATGTGTGGGAGTTAGCAGGAGGGGGAGACCCCTGCAATGCATACCCCACTAATAACACACTTTCCACTGCTTCTTTACTACAGGCCCAGAGGTTAGGAAGAGACGACTCAGATACCAGCCAGTGCAGCCAAGATGAACAGCATAGCAAACAATCCAAAGGCTCCGAGAGGTATAGTATATGGGGGGCTTCTCTCAGGGACCTGAGGCATGGCATGACTTCAGGATGGTGTTGACTTTGGCAGAATCCTAGCCGGTGTGCCCTGCCTGAAGGCAGATGTGCACTGGCTAGATGGCCAGGCAAGGTGTGTGTGTGAATGAACCTGTGATGCGGTCTCATGTAGATCTGTGAAGTGCTACTCTGCACAGAGCACTGTGGTGGAGCCAGGTTCTGTGCTCCACACTGGATTGGGCTGATTATGATGTGTGCCTGGTCTTGGGCTAGGGTTGAAGCAGCCTGTTGGAGGTCTGGGGGAGTCATGTTACAGGGTTAGTACTACAGCTCACATCTCTGAGCCAGAGCCCTGCCATATCTGCAGCTGGCTCTGTGTGTGTGGATACACCTAGTTGTATCTTACTGGGGCTCTCAGCCTCTTAGGCTGCTACTCTGAAGGGGATGGGGTGTGGTCATCCTCTTCTGGGACCTTGGCAAGCTCTCAGCATTCTTACATAGTGCCACAGTTTCATTCATTTTCTGTAATCTGACTACTGGAACCTATAGATTCAGAGCCTGGTGTCTCTTTTTCTCCCCATTTTCCACTCCGTTCTTCCTGGGCCCAGTGATGGTAAACTCTGGGAATGACACATATGTGAAGGTGTCCAGCTGTCACACCTGGACCAAACAATGCAGCCCAGGGCACTGGGAAGCCCTATGTAGTTTAGGTGAAAGTATAGCTCAGGAGAGGGTTTCTCCTTGCTGCACATCCAGCTGCTTGGCCCTGTAGCTCTCTGTGAATATGGGGGCAGGGGCTAGGATCTAGCACAAGGGACCCCCACTGCACTCCCAAATTCTCTTCCTGCTCTCCAAGTGGAGGGGCCTGACTGCTGCTCTGGCTGGCCTCACCAGGTTATCTCCTCCACTTCTGCATGGGGAGCAGCTCCAGAGTTCCCTTTACAACCAGGCCACTGAAGGAGGGCCTCCACAGATTCCCAAGGGACAACCTGAGTGGGAGGAAGTGGAGGAGCCTAGAGAGGACTCTGGAGCCAGCCACACACCACTGGTGTCTGTCCTGAGGTAAGGATGAGAAAGAAGCACCCCTGGGTGGTGGTGATCCCTTTGTGTGTGTGCTGGGGCTGAGAGAGATGGGGCAGGGTGAGCCTGGGGTGGGTTTGCAGCAGCAGCAGCACCTGGGGAATGGGGAATCTGCTACTTCCTAGTTCTTTTCTGTAACACATTGGAGTGTCCAGGCTGATTAGGAGAGCTTAAGAACTCTAGAATAAGGAGGTGCCGCTTCTGTTTACTTGCCTCCCTGCCAAGGACTGAGGCAGAGACTCTGCTGTTGCCCTGTCTGCTCCATTCTTGCCAGGGTAGCCCTGTCTCCTAGTCCCCTCCCCAACAGCACCCCTGCCCCTGCCAGGAGTCAGCCTAACTCTAGCCACCCAACTGGAGCTCTATTGTGTGCTAGGCCCAGGGAGAGGGGATGCAGGTCTCAGCCTGGTCCTGAGCCTGGTGTATATTTGCTAGTGCTAGTGCCTCTGTCCTCCTGGCGAACTGGGAAGAAGCATTCCCTCATTCCCCAGAAAAATATGCTGGTCTTAGATTTCATTTGTTTGGAATGAGCCACCAGGGGACCTGAGCAGCAGCCATGTTTAATCAGCAACATCCATTGACTACTTGCTGTGTGCAGAGCTTCTCCTTGGGTATTTAACTATCCTGTTTCCCATGTGAAACGGGAGTATCTGGCCTTCAATGCAAATGCTTCAGCAAGAGACCCAGAGGGGAAAGGGAGGTTGGAGAGACCCAAGGTAGGGAAACTACTGGGCTTGCCCCTCTTGTCCCTATGCACCTAAAAGGGGTGAAGATTGAACCTCTTGCCTTCCTCCTGGTTTAACACAGTTACTTCCTTCTTCCTATCAAGGGAACAGCCCCCGAGCCCACCTGTGGTCCATGAGAGGGGCAAGGAGCAGCATTCCCAGGCTGAGGAGCCATGCCCTGGGCAAGAAAAGACTGAGGACTCTGAGGAAAAGGTGGTGGTCAGCCCCACCTCGACAGTCTCTCTAGAAGTGTAAGGGCCAGTTTTTTGTGTCTGTCCCTGTCCTCTGCTGTGTATGGATTGCTCGAATGCCCATTCCCTCTCTTGGGTGATGGGAGGAGATGCTCTGGCTTCAGCCCATGGAGTGAATATAGGAGGATATTGGAAGTGTCCTTGGTGCTGTGTGCAGCCTTGAGAGCCCCAGGCAGCCATCACTATCACTGATTCTTGCCTGGGGTTAGCTCAGGTCCTGGGGGCTCCTGGCCAGGACCCAGGGTATGGGGATGGGCAAGGGTATACCTTTGGCTCATTAGCAGAAACTGGTAAATTATATTTCTTCCTCTCCCAAGGACTGTTTTTCTTTTAAAAACATCTTATTATGATATTTATGTATAACGAAGTACACAAATCTGAATTGTACAGGTCAGTGATTGTTTTCATGTGTGTGCAACACATAATAGCCACTCAGATTGTCATAGAATATTTCCATCCCCGGAGAAAGTTTCCACCCTCAAATCTACCCTCAAAAGCTACAGTTGTGGCTTCCATCCTATAGATTCAGTTTTCCCATTTTCCACCTTCATATAAATGGAATTATACAGAATATAGAAAATATTTTGTGTGCCTGAGTGTAAGGGTCATCATGCTTTTGCAATTCACCTGTTTTTATACCAAGTAGTTAAAAAATTTAGAAGCCACTTAGCTTTTCTCTCCCATCCTCACCTGTCCCTCTCATCTCTTATTCAGTTAAGGAAATGAAAGCTCAGAGAGGTGAAGGAATTTATCTAAGGTCCCATCACTAGTCAGTCGCAGGGTTAGAGCTAGATCCTAGACTTCTGACTTTTGGTTTGCAGCCCCTGTACCTCTTATGTATAGAAAGGCACTAGAATTTATGTTATTTCTCCTCTGTGATTGAGAGGTACAAAGGACTCAGGTCTGACTATTGAGCAGAGCCAGGTTCCTATCCTGATGACTCACAGGAGTGTCACTGAGAGCTGGCAAGGCACCTGAGCTCATAATCTCATGTCATTCCTATAATGTTGTAGAGGTTGTGTAGAGTAGGGGTAGTCACATTTTTCAGTTGGTGACAGGTCCTACAATGAAAGCTGTGACCTGAGGAATCACATGGCTTTCCTGTCTCCTTGGTGGCTGTGGACAGGCAGATCAGGGTGCTTTCTATGAAGGACAGAAGCCAAGTGTGGTTCAGAATGAGGAAGATCCAGGCAGAGGTCAGAGAGGCATCTTCCCAGGACCTTTGGAGGGAAGCTCCTCCCTGGACACCTTGTCTAGTTGATGCCCTAACTTGTGTTTCTTCTCCATCCCAATGACACTGCCCCTGCTGGGGTCTCTAGATACTGTCCTTGACCCTGCAGGCTCAGGTCACACCATCTCACAGGAAAGGCCTCTGTTCCTTTCCTGAGTCTCTTCAGACCCCACAACTTCCTTGTTATTAATCTTCACAGATGTGTTAGGAATCGATTGGTTTTCCAGGTATTGGGAGTAGCCCTGTGCCTGACATCTGAATCAGAAGGGTTAGGAACAGGACAGGCTAGCAAGGGTGGACAGGGCAGGCTTGTGGCTAAGGGACTGGGTCTGGGAAGCGGATATCCTCCTTTTTGTCATGTTAGCACATTTCACAGAGATTTGCAGAGATAGTAAGTGAATCAAAACCACCGGGTATAATCCTAGCTACTCAGGAAGCTGAAGCAAGATTGTGAGTTCAAGCCCAGCCTGGACAACATAGCAAGATCTCATCTCAAAAAGCCAATAAACAAACAAAAAAAGCCACTGGTCTAAATGTGACAGGAAACTAGATCTCCTTGCTTTCAGTCTGAGCTTTAGTGGTTTTACAATCATTTCAGAACGATCCTGGGATGTCAGTTCTCCCTCCCTCCATCCTCTTCTCCCTCCCTGCCTTCCTGCCTTGCTTTCTGTCACCTATCTCCTAGCTAGCTGGTGGCCAGCATGAAATGATTAGCTCCCACCGAGCCTTTCATTGGCCTCTTTCTATTGGAAACTGGGTCTCATGTGGCTCATACCTGAGGGGTTGGCCTAGAAATCAGACCTGCCTCTTCTTTGGCATCTTCAACTTCCCAATTGTCTTCTAGATCTTTCGGGCATTGTTCTTTGCCTTGGACCTAAGCAAGGTGTTTAGAATACCAGGACTTTAAAATGAGGGAGGGAGAAGAAACCCACTGAAAAACAGCCCCATTTGCCTGTGTGGCAGGTGTGCAAGCGGGCTCACTGGTGTGTGTAGCCTGGACACGTGCTGCCACATGGTCTGATGCCCCATCTTCCCACATCATCTGTCCCTTGGGCTGCACATATCTACGTAGCCCACAGGGGAGACAGACATTAAAAGGTACCATCTCAGGGAAAAAAGATGTTTTCAGCCAAGGTTGGAAATGAGTTGGAGGGTTGATGAGGCGGAGAGCTGCGGGGGGAGGCTCTTTTGGAGGGCAGCATCCTCAGAGGAGGTGGCAGCCATGACGCTTACATCTGCATCAGTTGGGCAGTGTCGGGGACTGAGAAGGAGTTAGAATTTGGAAGAAAGGAGAAAAAAGGAATTGGGAGGACAAAAAGATTTGAAGGCTTGGATCAAGACTGTTCCTGGTCCAAGTTCTGATTTTAGGAAAGGGTGGAGAGATGGGTTTCATGGTTTTTCAGGATGTCTGTAGCCTGTTTTGTTCCCCTCTCTCTCTATTCTTGGGCTGTAGTGGGGTTCCTAAGTTCTATTTTTTTTTTTACTGTCTGAGCTGTTCCCACCCTTGCTTTCCATTTGCTTTGCTGCTAAGCTTTCTTGGGGGAGAGTGGGTGTGGAGTCCTCAGCTGGGTGAACTGACTCCCCCATTTGATTCTTGCCCATTCCTCTTTGATTTGGTCTTATTCATGTGTTCCTGCTGAGGTTGACTGAGCCATTATGTCAGCCTGAGCACCAAACAAGAAGAGTGGTGGCTGTGTGCTACAACCAGGTTCTATTGTCAGATATGGAGACCTGGGAGTACAAAAGTGAACTGGCCCTTAAGAAAATCACTCCAAGGACTGGGGCTATAGCTCAGTCAGTGGTAGAGCACTTGCCTCAAACGTGTGAGACACTGGGTTCGATTCTTAGCACCACATAAAAATAAATAAACAAATAAATAAAGATATTGTGTCCATCTACAACTAAAAAAAAAAGAAAGAAAGTCACTCTGGGGGAGACATACTTTATTCTGCTTGTGCTTTCCCTGCTTAGAATGTTCTCACAGTTTCATTTTGGCTATTTCCTTGAAGAACCGGAAAATAAAGCAAAACAACCCTCCTCACTAACTCTATAGACATATTGTAAACCAATACCATTATTCCTCACCATACGTGCCACCCACCAATGCATCTGGGTTAGCTCTGAATTTTTTTCACTCATTTCAAAATACAGAACTTAATTCCAAGCAGATGAAAACATGTTACTATAGGGAAATATGGAAAATGGTATCTCTCTTACACTCTTGCTCCATTTTGGCTCAGAGAAATGTTTGCTGCCTGATTCCCTTGGTGGTGATGGAGGAAAGTTTTCTATTCCTGGACCTCAATGGACTGTCTGTCGTAGGTTTCAGGGCTGCTACTTTTCCCATGGGCTCATTTACATTGATCTCTGTTCAGTCTGGAAGTAGACAACGGTCTCTAGGGACTGTTTCCAAATTTCTGGCATGAGACTCAGGTAGTAGGCAGAGCCCTGGTGGAGACAAGGAACAGGGCCTAAAGACCTTCTGGGAGAGAATCCACTAGGGACAGAGCTTCACTGTCTCCCTGATGTTGTCAGCTCTTGAGGCACAACTTCACGTTTTGACCTCAGGCCACAATCTTCCAGGTATACTGACTGTGGGCTGCCTTTTTCCCTAGACCTTTGGACTTTATTCGATCACAGTGGGGCTTGTCCTACAGAACAGTCCCTTGTGTGGCTATGTGGGTATATGACTCCAGATTTTGGGTTCTCCAGCACGGTTGTGTATGTGATGTTCTGTTACCTATGGATCTGATGCCAAAAGGTGGGTAGATACACACCCTGTAGTGATACCCTGTTTTCCTCTTACAGGAGATATGCAGAGCCTCTGGCTCTCCCAAAAGAGCTTTCTGAGGCTGCACTAAAGGCCATGGAAGAGGCAGTGGCCCAAGAACTCAAAGAAGATCAGAGGTTACTGCTGGAATTGCAGCAAAAGAAGATGCAGCAGCTTCGGGAGAAGCTGTGGCAAGAGGAGGAGGAGGAGATTGTCCAGCTTCACCTGCAGAAGGAGAAAACCCTCAGGTCCCACTTCTCCCCTGAAGGGAGGAACACCTGCCTCCCATTCCTGACACCACTGGGAGGCCCACAGTCCCACCAAGGCTGTTCCTAGAAACTAGTAACTTTTACTAGTCACCTAGTAACTTTTGCTGCTATCTCATTGGTTACCCCTAGTTACAAGGGAGTCAGTCTATTTATGTATTAGAAAAAATCAGGATTCTGTTAGTAAGGAAAAAAGGACAAATGAATATCAAGAAGGTAATGAGCAGCCTGTCAGTCTGAGGGTGGGAAAGTGCTACAAAGTAATGTTAAGATATCTAAAGGCTAAATCTTGTCCTTTTAGACAGAAGCTCCAAGCATGGTAGAGAATTACTATTTTTGTATCATACATAGCAAGGAACTTATAAAACATTTATGCTTAATTTTTTTGGAGAAAATAAAACAAAACCCTATTTCAGTACCAGGAAGATCATTGCAAACTCTTTCATTAGCTCAACATAGGATCTGCTGACCCAGGGCTTGCCCTTTTACCACCCTTCTTGGGGCCCTTTCTGGGGAGCATCCCAAAGAACAGACCAACTCATAGCATCCTCTTTTTCCAAGGCCACTGAAAATTGGGGCCGGGGCCACCCAACCAGGGCATGACTCAGCTTACCTTAAGATGGAACACCTTAGAGAAGATCCTTGGGTGTCTCCCTGCCAGCCCACAAGGCTGCTCCCCTTTTACTGGCTACCATGGTCTTGGCTGTGCTTTCCATCCCCTGCCCTTCAATCCCAGAAGGTCAAGACCCTAGAGCACTTTCAGCTTTTGGTGAACACTAGCATGCCAGAAATATTTGATCAGGGCCTGGAACAGCAGTTACTCCATAAATGGCAGCACTTGCTTTTATTTTCAGTTGGAAATTAATACTAATTTGGACATTCTTGAGTAAGTGATTTGATTAAGTGATTTCTTTATGGGTAGAGCTTTGTCTGGTTCTCTTTAAAATAGTTGGTCCTTAGAAAGCTGTTTATGTTTACACCAGAACCTTTCTGTGGGGGTGGGGCATCCTCCACTTTGCTGGAAAACTTCTGGAAGTTTCTGGATAGAAATTTCTAGAAGCCACAGCTGAGTCCTTTAACCAACAATTGAATGATAAGGCAGTCAGGAAGACAGACAGGCTGACCTTAGTTTCCTCAGTTGTAAAATAAAGAGATAGGATTTAACCTCTAATGTTACTGCCAGCTCTAACATTCTGTGTAGTTCTGTGTAAATTTGAGCCATAGGAAAAAAAAAAAGAAAGGGTTTTTGGGGAATCTAGCAAGGAGGATTTTTACTTAACTCAAATTTCTTCTCATAATGGAAGAGAGTGGTGGTGTTGATGGTAGGAAACAATCTTAAATATTTTTTGACTTTGGAGTTTGCTTTTCAAAGAATTGTGTTCCACATCACATTGGTTATAGCCTTGAATTCCCTGAGTGTATAGCACACATCCCCTTGTGTGGGACCGTATGAGGGGGTACACAAAAAGGATGCAGTTTGTGTAAGCAGCTTATGTCTACAGTGGTGACTGTCATTGGTATGTAGATGAGACATCTTTCATGGCTAATCAAATATTGCTTATAGTTGGGGCTGGATGAGACTGTCCAAGTCCAACACACATTTATTGAAAACCTACTTTATGTCAGTTACTATGTTCAGTGTTTGAGATATGTTATTATTGTAGATGGACACAATACCTTCATTAATTTTTATGTGATGCTTCACACATGCTAGGCAAGCGCTCTATCAATGAGCTACAACCCCAGCCCAAGATAACAACAGATTTTAAGAGAAGATTCTTATTCTGAAGAAAGTCCCAGACTACAAGGAAAACAAAGATTACTTAGGATGCAATATGATACATGATGCAGAGTAGCATGGGATAAGAAAGGTTCACCATTTAATGTGTATGGAAAAGGCAAATCAGTAAACTTGGAGGGAATTGGGAAGATTTCCCAGAGAGCTGACTGGTGTTAAGCAGTGAATTTGGGCTTGACAGAAAACAACAGAATTCTAGGCAGAGGAACCAGCATGAGCAAAATCAAGAGACAAGGAAGAGTACAGTGTGACTTAGAGATGGTGACATATCTGATGTGCCAAGAACAGTGTCTGTAGGGTGGGGAGTGGCAGAATGTGGATCCAGAGTCAGGCTATGTGGCTGTAACCTTCCTTGAGTGAATGCCCTGCTGAGGTAAATCTAGGCAGAGGGAGCCTGCAGTCCACTTCCTGTGGTAAAGGGCATTTCAGGGAGGCAGCCTCCCAGAGGAGACTTTGTGTTTAAGATTGACATTGTTTCACAGACAGCCTGAGAGGCCCTTGGAGGTCAAGAAGCAGGGGTTGTGAAAGGACCAGAAAAGACTTGTGTGGTCCCTCCCCTGAACCTGCCTTTCCTTCCTTCTCAGTTCCCTGAAGGAGCAGCTGCAGAAGGCCACTGAGGAGGAAGAGGCTCGGATGAGAGAGGAGGAAGGCCAGAGGCTGTCCCAGCTCAGAGCCTGGGTCCAATCCAGCACAGAAGCAGATGAGGAACAAATCAGGTGAGAGCACGCTGGGAGTTGCCCTGCCCTGTGGCAGTGACCTGGAACATGTAGGCCCACCCCCATCCCATACTCTTTTCCCAGGGCTGAGCAAGAGGCTTCCCTGAAAAGGCGGAGAGAAGAATTAGAGTCCCTACAGAAAGCTGAGATGGCCAGTTTGGAGCAGAAAAGCAAGTGGACATTGGACCAACTCAAGGAAGAGCTGGAGGCTTCAGAGAAGAGAGCTGAGGCCACCCTTAAGGCTGAGAAGGAGGTGGCTCTGCAGCAGCTGAAGGAGCAGCTGGAAGCGGAGAGGAGAGAAGTGAGCAAGTGCAGCGAGGATCTCCCCCCTACATGTCTTTGCTGCCTGGAGAGGGACTGAGTGCAGAGGAAAAGAAAGGGCATGCTCTGGGTCGGTGCACAGGGTGGGGAGCCAGGCAGGCAGGTGGCCTGCACAGACAGGTTTGGGACATAGTAATTGGCTCTTTACTCTTGGTGGACCTGACTGGGCTCAGGGCAGATGCAGCCCTGATCTCCTCAGCTGAGTGGAGGATTCAGTAGGTATTCAGAGGCCCCTCCAGGGTCATCTTGGCCCAGCAGTTGCAGCTGGGTCTTATTAGTAGCAGGGAGTCATCAGAGGCATGAAGGGAAATGTCCTATAGGTTTGGGATGGTTTCACAACTGAAAGAACTTCAGCCAGACCAGAGGTCTTGAGACCAGGGCACCCTGTTCCTGTTCCTGAGGGGCAGCTACAAATGGCCTCTCCTCCCTGAGTTTTTCTCCTGTCTTAGAATGGGAGGCTGGTACCTTTGTCCCCACTCCCTTTCTCTCTAGCTCCATGGTCTGTTGCCAGATTAGACACTCATGAATGGCCAGTCCACTTAGAAATTTTCTTTTGTAAGGAGTGAACTTTAGCTGTTAGACACAGAAAATTGAAGCAAAGACTGGGGGGCTGTCATTGTAAAGCAGATGCTCAAAGAGAGTGTACCAATCCTCCAGCCCTCCCTGGTTTGGATCTTATTTACAGCATCTGTGTATCTGTGGCCTGGCCCAGAGGCAGGACAGGAGCCTGAGCTGAAGCCTACTGTAGTGCCCCTCTACTCTCACCTCTAGGTTCCTGTCCATTTGCTACTTGCAGACTTTGGGGATGAGTTAATTCAGAGGAACGTTATTCTCCTTGGCTCCTCATCTTGTGGGAGTAGGGTGGTCTTCCTGGCTGCACCCGTCCCATGGTCCTGGCCAGGGTCCTTGCCGTGCTTCCCTCATGGCTCTTTGCTGCTCCTTAGGCGATGGCAGGGCTGGAGAAGTCGCACAGTGCTGAGCTGGAGCAACTTTGTTCCTCACTGGAGGCCAAGCACCGGGAGGTGAGTGTGGCTGGCCCAGACTGGCCCATGAGGGCAGAGCCTGGACAGCCTAGGACCCTGCTTCATATTGGGCAGCAGCAGAGCTCAACCCCATCTCTGGCCACTGGGAACAAGCCTCCCTCCACCTCTAGGCCCTTGAGATGCATGCTGGGGCCCTGGGAGTGAGACCCTACATGGTAGCTCTAACTGCCTCCCTGAGGGTCACACTTCGCTGTGTGTGGGGGCGACTCCTCAGGTGGTCTCTGGCCTCCAGAAGAAGATAGAGGAAGCTCATCAGAAAGAAGAAGCCCAGCTGCGGGAGAGTCTTGGGTGGGCAGAGCAGAGAGCTCACCAGAAGGCTCACCAGGTGGTGGAGTATGAGCAAGAGGTACTACTGCTCCTCGACTCCCTATGGTCTGTTCCATCATCTGGACCCTAATGTCTTCCATTTTGCTGTGAATTGCTCAGCGGGGATGGCGCTTCTAGTTCTATTTCTGTGACTACGTTTCCTTAAGGCCAGGTCCTCCTCCATCCCCAGGACCCTTGTACACCTGTGGGGAGATGGTGTTGGGGTGTGGCTGTTTGTATGCCTTGGTGCCTTGTGTGTGGGTAGAGGATGTTGGGAGGCATGTGTAGGGCCCTGGGTGCTGTCCACCCTCAACTCTGTGTGCTGCCTCCCTGTTTTGTCCCCTGCAGCTCAGCAGCCTCCTGCGAGAAAAGCGCCAGGAGATAGAAAGGGACCATGAAAGGAAGATGGACAAGATGAAGGAGGAGCATCGGCAAGTGATGGCAGAGGCCAGAGAGCGGTATGAAGCTGAGGTACCTCGACCACACCGCCTGTTGCGCGCGCGCGCCTGTGCACACATACTCTGTCACACACATACAGCTAGGGGTCCTTCCTAGCTGGCTTCAGGGCATGAGAGGGGACAAACTATGGTCAGGCATTGTGGAAGGCCTTCCTCCTTGGCACCTTCCAACAGTGAAGTCATTTGGTTTTTAATGAAGTATTAGAAACCTTCCCTAATGGGAGGTACTTCCTGTTAGATAGATGTTCCTTTTTAAATTAAATGGTATAGTAGCTAACAGGTCTTGAGCTGTACTACATACCAGGCCCTGCTCTAACTCTTGATGTATCTTAACCCACTTTAGTCCTCACAACAGCCTTGGGAGGTATGTCCTCCATTTTAAAAGACAAGGATACTGAGATATGAAGAGTTCAAGTCACTTTCCCAAGATTAAACTCAGCTAATAAGTAGAGGAGCAAGGATTCCAGTGACTCCAAATCCTTCAGTTTTAGTCACTGCAACAGCAGGCACCAAGGTTAATGAAATTTCAGGACATCAATAAGTAGACTGGGAAGAATCAAACAGTATTATATATTATCTGCCCTCCTTCCTCTTTGATCTTCGGGTGGGAAAGTTCACTTAACCTGGTTTGGCTTGGCTTGCTTACCTTAGGGGTGAGTAATGCATGGGTGTGGGGGTGGTGACTTTAACCCACAGCTGGATCCCTATGGGGGACTTTTAGGCTCCTGTTCTAGTAACTGGAACCCATATCCCAGATCTTCTGCAGAAACAGCAGCACTGTGATGAAATTGAGCTACATCCCTTCCCAGGCCAGTTCTGACCTTGCTGAAGACTAGTGATAGTTGATCAGTGGCCTCTTTCCCCGTGAGGGAGAGCTGGACACCATACACGAGTGGGTGAAGCAGGCTGACACGGGGCTCCTTCCTGATGCCTGGCAGCATCTGCTTCAGCTGCAGGGCAAAGTAGGCATCCTGATGCTCCCCTCTAGGAGTTGGCCATGGGGAGCTCTTACTGACCCAAGACTGCAGGGGTGAGGGAGTCTGATTTTTGGGGTATGAGAAGCCCCTGCAGGTTCCTACTGGTGGCCCCACCTCTTTATAGGAGAGGAAGCAGCGGGCTGACCTCCTGGGGTACCTGACTGGAGAGCTGGAGCGCCTGCGCAGGACCCACGAGCGGGAATTAGAGACCCTGAGGCAGGAGCAGGACCAGCAGCTGGAGGACCTGCGGCGTCGGCACCGAGAGCAGGTGAGGCCTGGGGGGTGAGCCCCCACTAGGACACCTCTGTGCAGGGCAGGGAAGTCTTGGGGGCTGACATCGTGGCTGCAACAGGATGGAGCCCTGCAGCTTCAGGAGAGGAGGTCTCTCCCTGGCCCTCTAAGCTTAGGGGCATCTTTGTTTCTTTGTTTTCTGCGACCAGGTACATGGCCCGGGATTAGACAGGGAAGTCAGTCCCTCTAAGGCTTTGGAGTTGCCCCCTGCACCCCAGTCTGGGAATCAGCAAGGTGTAGTACATGCTCAGTAAACTGCAAGGGAATTAAGAGGAAGTAAGCCGGAGCCCAGCTCAGAGGTCAAGCTAATACCTTACCCTCTTTCTATGCTGACATCTTTCTCTTCACTACACTCTGGGCAGGAAAGGAAACTCCAAGATTTGGAGATGGAACTTGAAAGCAGAACAAAAGATATCAAGGCCAGATTGGCTCAGCTGAACATCCAGGTGAGAGAGTTGGGTGGAGAAGAGATGTGAGGTGTACTTGACCAGAGTCCACTCCTCCAGGAGAGGGCAGGCCCCTGCCCCTCTGGCCTAGGGTCAGCAGTCAGCCCACAGGCCCATCTCTTCCCCTTTAGGAAGAAACCTTGCAGAAGGAGAAGCAGCAGCTGCTTGATGTGCAGAGGCAGGTGGCTCTGGAGAGAGAGGTTTGTCTGCCTCACTTGTTCCCCAAGGTTTCTGTTCACCTACTCTGCCCAGCACCCAGGGGTTCCAAACTAGGTTGGCCAATATTCCACAAAAAGTGCCACTCTGTGGACTGTGGTGGGAGGCCCGGGAGCCTGCAGACCCCCTGACCCAGACACAATGGCTTCAGTGGCTCTGGCTTCCATTCCCTGTCTCATTCTTTTCTGGCTTCCCTGCCCTGACTTCTTCTTACTGTATCTCTGGGTGCTTCTGTCTTTCCTTCCCACACTCAGGAAGTCACAGTCAACCATCAGCACCTAGAGGAAGTGAAGAAGGAGCATACCCACTTGATGGAGTCCAAGCGACAACTCCAAAGGGTTCTCGAAGAGCTGCAGGCCCGCAAGATAGAGCTGGAGTCCCAAGTGGATCTGCTGCAGATGCAGAGTCAGAAGCTGCAGAAGCGTGTCAGGTGGTGTGGGCTTCCGGCACCTAGTCACCCTCTCACCTTCCTCTCACCTGCTGCTCTTGAGCCCCATCTCCTCATGGCCCAGTTAACAGGGAGAGGTGGAGGACCCAACTCAGAAGCAAGGCAGAAGGGTGTGGAGTTGCTGCTGCATCTTAGGGAGGCTATGTTGAAAAGCAGGGCATCCCTGCCTCCCCTGTTCATGCCTCAGCCCCACCCCAGGGACCTCGGTGGCAGTGAGAACCTGGATGTGGTCCTGACAGTGTGGCCTCCTTCACCCAGTGACCCTACCTCACACCCGTATCTCCTACTTCCCTTCCCCACCACAGCAGCCTGGAGGCTGAAGCTCAGAGGAAGCAGGACATCTTGAAAGAGTTGGCAGTGGAGGAACGTAATGTTTCCCCACATTTTGAGCCAGATCTCCACATTGAGGACCTGAGGAAATCCCTTGGGACAGTGAGCTGGGGTTGGGGCCTGGGGGGGGAAAGTGGGGGGGGGGTTCAGGGCATCAGTGGTGGGGGGGATCAGGAGGGGAGTCGGCTGTACTGCAGACAGAACCCGGTTTCCTTTTCTTATTCCCAGCTTCCCACCATCTTCACCAAATGGTACCTAAAAGTGAAGGGTACCTGGCAACTGGCAGAGCCATTTCCTTGTCTAGGCCACTAGGAGGGGCTTCGGGGTGTCTTGACCATGCAGGGTGTCTGCTTTTGCTGCACTCAGTAGGTCTTTTTCTGCCATGTGTCCATAGAACCAGACCCAAGATGTGTCCTCTTCTCTGTCCCAGGGCAAGGAGACTAACTTGTCCTTGGACGGGTAAGTTCCTACTGCCTGTCTTATTTCAAGGTGAGGTATCACAGAGGGATGAGTGAGGGCTGTATCCCAGAACTGAAGTGACAGTGACTGCTAGTAGGACTTTATTCCTGGGAGAGGCCTAGAGATGGAAGATCCTCTTTACTAAGCCAAGAAACTGGCCCTGTAACCTTCAACAGGCATCTGCTGACCTCTGGTTGAGGATCAGACTGTCTGACATCTGGGGCCAGGCACAATTCCTTTCAGAATCGGGGTGGGGAGACTGTTAGTCCCATGTGCTGTATGCTATAGGTGTTTAAAACTGGTGTCCCTGCGTAGTGCCCAGCCCCAGCCCAGCAGTTCCTGTGTGCTCAGGGTGGGCATTTGCTTGGGGAGTGGCTGTGTGTCCTGAGTAGGGTTCTTAAAGTCTTGCCTTTAACTTCTCTCCATTTCCTCTGCCCTGCTGGTCCTCCCCAAGTATCCGCCAGTACCTCTCCGCCGAGGGGATAGCCCTCCGCAATGCCAAGGAGTTCCTGATGCGACAGACACGCTCCATGCGGAGGCGGCAGACAGCCCTGAAAGCTGCCCAGCAGCACTGGTGCCACAAGCTGGCCAGAGCCCAGGATGTGGCTGATGACCCTCCAGGCACTGAGGCTCTACAAAATATGCGCAAGAACCTGGAGGAGGTCAGAAGCCTGGAGGGGAACCTGCCAATTCTATGTGGTGCAGGCCTGAGGGGGCCAGTTGGACCCTTGCCTTTGGGCTCTCTTCAGTTGATAGTTCTGGGGACTCCATGAGAAAGGCCACATGGGCCCTGTGATTACTTACATTTTCATGTATACATCGTGTGCAAACAGCACTTTCTCTAATAGTAAAGTGTTTGATCCTCACGTTGACCATATAGTAGGCAAGATAGTACAGGTTGAAAAGTCCTCATTAGAAAATCTGTTGAACCAGTGTAGTCACACAAATGTTCAAAAATCTGAAAAACTCCCCAAATTTGAAATACTTCTGGACTCAAGCATTCAAATAAGGGATACATACAGCTATCTTATTATTTCCATTGTCTAGATGAAGAGTATGACTGGGGTTTAAAAATTTTCAAATTCAGTGCTAAGCATTTCCATTGTCTCAAACTAATGACTTCATTGAGAAATGAAAGTCTTTTGGACACACTAAGCATAAGATGAGTTACTTTTCTGGTCTGCTTCTCTGATGGTCTAATTTGCAATGAATAGGCAGAGATTTCATCGTTAGCAGTTGGTATCATAGATCTTTGTCCTGGTTGAATGCACCTGCATCATGGGCTCTGCCCTGCCCTCTTGGACACCTGGGTTCCTAGAATTCTGATGGTGCTAGAACTCCTTATGGGGCTCAGGCCCTGTGACCCCTGTGCCTGGCTTAGCACAGCAGATGGTCTGGTACAAACAGAGGGCAGGCTTCCCAGGGTTATCTATCTGAAGGCTACCCTCAGGCCCTGTTATGTAACCCCTCTCAATGTCAGCAGTGGTGGTGATGATGATGATGATGATGATGATAGTTGGAGCAGTGATGGTAATAGCAGGAACCACTTAAGAATCTCCTCGGTGTGGGCATCATGTTGAGCATGTACCATCCTCTATCATTTAATTCTCACAATCCACTGAAAAGTAGCATTTCATATTTTCAAATGAGCAGCCACACGAGAGCTATGTTCCAGACCACTCTGTCAGCAGATGGTAGAGCTGGGACTCCAGCATGTGTATGAGCATCATTTCTCTCTCCTTTCTCCCCTCTGCAGGAGACCAGGTACCTGGATGAGATGAAGTCAGCCATGAGGAAAGGCCACGGTCTGCTGAAGAAGAAAGAAGAGAAGCTGAATCAGCTGGAGTCCTCCATTCGGGAAGAGGTGTCATCCTGTGGCCACATAACTTCCCTTTTCAGTTCCCAGGACAGGGCTGGGTTCTTTGGTTCTGGATTAAGGGTACTGGGCCTCTAGGGCTCAGGATGGGATGCTGGTTTCAGGCTTGTGGTTGGTGAAAATGTCAGTGAGTTGAACACATTTCAGGGGTGGGATGTCTGCTGAGTGTTCCCAAGTCACCCTGGAGCTTCTTGGGAAGGTGCAGGTAAAGGGGACTAGCTCCTGCCCTTCCCTGCTATGTTGCGACTGCAGTGTGAGGGTGCACATGCATCGCAGGTGTCCCTACCCCCCACCCGCCCTGGTGTGTATCCCCTCATGCCTCAGACAGAGGTGTGGCAGCAGGGAAGCTCAAGGAGACTGCGGAGACAGTGCTGGGGAGGGCGTGGCATCTGTTACCTGTGTCTTAGGCAGCTGGGTTTTCTTAGCCTCCCTCCCACCCACTCGCCCAAGGGGCCTGTGTAGTGTGCCTCTCCCGGGGGTCTTGGAGCTTTGGGTCCCAGAAGAGCAGACTCCCCAGACTCAGTCCATACTCATCACGCTGGAGGGGCAGTACTAATGGCTGGTTCTACCCATCAGGCCTCAGATGAAGACACTTTGAGAGGAACCCCCACCAAGAAGGCAGTGACCTTTGATCTCAGTGACACAGAAGACACAAGCAGTGAAAGCTCAGAATCCTTTCCCCTGCTTCACAGTGAGCCATGGCGGCAGCAGGGAGGTGAGCAGGAGAGAGGCCGTGGGAGGGGCGAATCCCAGAGTATTTGGAGATGGGGATGTCGGGAACACCGTGCACTCCCCTTCCCTCAGCCCCACAGGGGTGTTTGTGAGCTCTTGTCTGAACTAGATACTTGGTAAGAGCTGGGTTGGTGGCATACTGCGAGAGCTTTCTGAATGTTGTGGACTGTCCCTGTTAGCCTCTTCTCTTTCAGGGCCTCTTGGGAGGCTGTCTCTCCTCTCTGTTCTGGCCTGCAGGAGGGCACAGGGCCCTCTCTCTTCCTTCTCTCTAGGGGCTTGTACCCCTGCCCTGGGCCTGCTCTGTCTGGAACAAGGAAGCCCCAGTTATCCTCTGTCCCCTTTGTAGGGCCAAAGGGGCTATTGTCTGCAGGAGCAGGGAGGGGCAGCCAGCAGGTGCCATTGTCTGGGATGTTCCAGGGCTCTGAACCTGAGTCCCTCCCTTCCATCTACCTCTTTCCTTTCAGTTACCTCCACCTCGGGTACCATCTTCCCCAATAAGATCAATTACTTGAGCAGCTCCCTCCAGCGGATCAGCAGTGAGCTCAACAGTGTCCTCAACATTCTGGGCAGCCTCAGCACCCAGCCACCCCCTTTGTTCTCCAATTCCTGGCCATCTCAGTTCTTGCCGCGGTCTTCCAAGAGTACCCCACTTCCCTCCTACCCCTTTATGAACAGGGTTCCATCCTCGTCTCCGGTTACACCCGTGTCCACCCAGTGGGCCTGGGACCCAGGGCTGGGCCCCCGGCTCCCCTCTGTGACTCAGACAGTGGATGACTTCCTTTTGGAGAAGTGGCGCAAGTATTTTCCCTGTAAGCCTCCCTGGGCTGCCCTTGGTTTTGGCTGTGCCTTCCTGCTTTCTTCCTCCTCTTCCATTTTCTTCTACGCTCTTTGTCCTACTATTCCTTTCCTCTTCTTGCTTACCCCTGTCCCTGCCCCCAATTTTGGTCCATGGCTCTGTCTCTGGATCCATGCTGAAGACCTTGCCGATGGCCCTGCAGCCGGAGGCTCTGTGGATCAGGATGGTTAACATGGAGCCTGGGCTGACTGGGGCCTTTATTATGTATTGTAGAGCTCAGCAGACCCTAGAAGGTCGTCATTGTCATTATCATAATGGCTCCCATCTTGTGCAGTACATTTGAAGGCCAGGCACTTCATATCTGTCTGTCTATCTTTCCCCCTTTAATCCTTATAATAATTCTTGGCAGTAGTAATCATCCCCATTTTATAGATGAGTAAGCTGAGACTCAGGTTAAGTAATGGGCTCCAGGACACCCAGTAAGTGAGTAACAAATCAGGTTTTGACCTCATATCTCTATGACTCTAGGATTTTGCCTCTAATCCCTTAGCTGTGGCTTCCCCTTACCTGTGGCTTCCCCCTTACCTGTAGCCTCCCCTGGTCTCATAGCCCTGCAGGTAGTATGAGAGGCTATAAAAACAATCATTTGAAGGAAAATATGGGGGAAAAAAATCTTCTTTCTGCCTTAACCCAAATTGAAATGTAGATTAAATTTTAGAAATAAATAGAACACTTCCCGTCTGTCACCTGTCTCTCATCTCTAGGCTCTGAAGCTCCCCCTGCTTTTGTGTGTGTGTTCTGGGGTGCTGCCTCATCTGTTTCCAGGGGTGGGCAGAGGTTCTGGTGAGCAGCAAGGCATCCTGTGGGGCCTGGGTCTGGCTCCACTGGACCAGGGCCCCTGAGCTCTTCCCCTCCACTCCCTCAGCTGGCATCCCCCTGCTCAGCAACAGCCCTACCACCACGGAGAACCGCCTGGGCTATGTGTCTGCCAGGTAAGCCTCCCAGTGGGCTCTGTGGGACAGTCAAGCTGCTGGCTCCACTTCCTGGGCAGATGGGCCTCTGAGGGCAACAGACTCCTGGTCCTGATGGCCTAGGAGGTTAGACAGATCCCCACAGAGCTGCCACACCTTGCCTAGGACTGAGACGCCCTCCACAGCTGGGGAAAATCAGATGAGGAAGCTGCCTGTGGTACCTGTGGTGGGACCCTGCACACTGCCCCATAGGCTGGCCTTTCCACCCTGGAATCTGGCCTTTGTCTTTACCATTGAGCTCTTTGTCTACTTTCCACGGCTCCCTTCTTCTCTAAATCCTGCTGAGCAACATCTGGAATGAGAGGGACACCCCATTGGGGAGACAGACGGGCAATTCTTTAAACCTGTTATTAATTTCCCATTCATCTTCTTCCTTGCCAAGTGTGCCTCCCCCTCCCTGAGACCCCAATTGGAAGTCCCCCACGGTCTCTTTGGGCCAGCTTGGGAGCTGAGGCTGAGCAAGGATTGAGTTGATCGAGGGGAGCTCCTTATTGAAAGCATTTGTTGGAAATAGACATGGAAGCCCTGGAGTGGCAAGCAAGCACCTAGGAATGGGCAGAGGGTGGCTACCATCCTCCCTTTTGGGAACTCAGTTTGTCTTTCCAAAAGGGCAGCTTCAAGTTGCTAAAGAGATCTCTGAAAAGGCTATTTCTGGTACTGGTGAGAAGAAGAGCTATGGGTTGGCTTCTGGTTGGCTCTGTCATATGTCCCCTTTCATGCAACACCTTTGTTTGTACTCTTCCTCTTCTCACCCTCTCCTCCTTCCTCTTCCCAGTGAGCAGCTCCGCCTTCTGCAGCACAGCCATTCCCAAGTCCCCAAGGCAGACAGCACCAATTTTCAGAGCATGATTGATGCTAACCGCAAGTGGCTAGAGCGTTTCAAGAATGACTCCAAATCGTATCCTTTCAACTGGTCCCCAAACCGCAGTGCCTTCCTGTTGTAGCAGTCAAGCTGGTCAGGCTCTGCTGGTGCTCTGGGGGCCAGAGGAGGATCCACTTCAGCCTCTGACTCTTTCTTGGCTCCATCTGGACGTGCTCAGCTGCCCAATTTTCCTTCACCTCATGGCCAGACATGTTTTTTCCTCGGTGCCCAAGCCAACAGCCACTTCCAGCATGATGTTGCAGCTGGGCCTGGATGACGACAACATCCTGCACGTATACCACTACTGAGTGCCCAGTCGGCATGGGGAGACTCCTCCCCCTCGGGATCCAGGCCCAGGGAGCCACCTGTACTTCCTGCTTCTGAGAAAGCACTCTCCTGTTTGCTCTGCTGCACCCCTTAGGACCTGAAAGAACCACAGGGCTGGGTGTGGGTGGAAAGGATGGTATGACTCAAATAGTAAGCCATACTCTGTGACCATGGCCCATGTTTTGACCTGAAGTGTGTGAGCTTCTTTGAGCTCCTGCATCAACATGGCAGCACTGATGGGCATGGCTGCTGCTGGGCCTGCTCAGGGATGGAAGGCAGTTCTCTTCAGAGCCAAGGGATCCCTCCAGAGCCACCCTGGTCCCTTGGACCTTCAGGGACCTGCTTAGAGGTTCCCAGCACACCTGTACCCTGGGACCTGGCTCCTGTGGCCTGCACCTATCTCCAGTACCTCAGCCTCGGAGAGGTCAAATCCTTTCTTTGTTCTTTTGTCTTTTTTTGTTTTTGTTTTTAATGTCTCCTTTTTTGAACATTCTTTCCCTCCTAGTGACTGTCTCAGGATTTGGTTCAGCTGCTCAGGCCCTGCCGGAGGCTGGACCCCAGAAGTTTTGCCTCTTTTCTCTCAGCCAGCACTGTGCTTTCCTCAGGGCTGTCTTCAGGAGCACCCTCCAATTCCCTGAAGTTCCTGGGAGCCCTCCAGCCAGCGTCTCAGGTCCCAAGCACACCACTTCTTCAGGAAGCCAAAAACCAAAACGAAAAACACCCGCAGGAAAAGACTGGGATGGCCTCTGGTCCTCATCTTGCTTTCTCTCTCTTTCTAGAGTACCTCCGGTGCATTCATGGACTTGGTTTCTACCTGTCTTTTCTACCTTGCCGCCCCCTGCCCCAATCCCACTGCTACCTCTTCCCAGAGCTTAGTGTGAAGACTGGACCAGTGCCCAGCATTGTCAGGGGGGCCTCATACCAGGTGGAGCTGCTGTTCTCAGGCATCTGTCCCATTGTTTAAACAAAGTGTCCCCATTTTTCATGTCTTGAAAGCTGTGGGGTTGCCCTTGCCAGAGAAACCAACACTCGCTGTCTCACCACTCATTTCTTTGCCATGGAATAAGACTGAGATCCAGTTGGCTTTTTTACCCCCTCACATATGTTTTAGGCATCAGCCTACCACATAGAAAATGTCCTATTTGTTATTTGGCTTATTCTATGTGCTTTGGGAATAGCTCATGTGATACGACCAGCTCTGGTGACAATCCTGTGTTTTATGCATCAATTAAAATCTCTGCAGGTCCATTTTCTACAAGTCCTGTGTGTGAATGTGTTTTCTTTTTAGAGGCCTTTGCCTCCTTTCTCCTGAGAAGAAGGCAGGAAGGAAACATGAGTATTCATAGGACGCCTCCCTAGGCATATGATTAAGTCACCACAACAATGTAGATACTGATGTAGATACTGTTGGCTCAGTTTTTATGGATGAGGGGAAACCAGGGCTCAAAGACATTGGAAGTGCCTGGGGTCCCCAGTAAAGTGTAGAGCCCCAGAGTCCATCCCTGTTCCCCCAGAGCACCCTCTGCCCAGCTGCCAGTCCTTGGGAAGTGCTGATGTTCTCTACCTCTACCATTGCCCCCTCCCTGTTCTGCCAGCTGGAGATCCATAATGCCATTTCCCAGAGGCCAGTGGGTTCCACTTTCATTCAATGAAAGATAAATCCCCATAAGGTGCTAAACTGGCAGTTAGGTGAGTCTTTTCTGTTCCATGGGTATGAGCAGCAACAAAACTGCTAGGAGAATCACCTGAGATGGCCCTGTTATTACAGATTTGCACACAAACCAACGTAAAGATAAAACATAGAAGTTCCTGCACTTCCTAGAAAGGAAGGAAAGACCAGAGGGAGAAGCAGGCAAGCTAACATTTGTTGAATGTCTTCTGTTGGCTAGGTGCTTTTCATATATTCTTGATTGCAATCTTTACCTAATGAAGTTGGTATTCTTATTTTATAGATGAAGGAATTTAGGCACCGGAGAAATTAGCCCATATACCTAATGACCAGGACTTGAACCCAGGTCCACAGAAAGTTGAGTTCTGATGCCCCTGTTCCACTGTGTCAGCACCCTCTGTCTTCCTCCTGGGCAGCTTGGTCTAAAAACCTGGGTTCTAGGAAGGCGGTGGCTTCTAACTGAATGGGGGGCTTCCTGGGACAAGGTTTACAAAGGGACTTTTCAAAAGACTCCAAAATCGTCTCATTCTTCCTCTTGTGGATTTTCAAATCTAGCTAGGAGACTAAAATCATAGACCTGAAAAGAACTGAGGGGAAAGGGAAAAATAATACAAGGGGGACAAATGAATGTCAGTAGAGGGGGCAGAGAGAGAAGAGGGGAGGGGAGGGGAGGGGAGGGGGGATAGTAGAGGATAGGAAAGGCAGCAGAACACAACAGACACTAGTATGGCAATATGTAAATCAATGGATGTGTAACTGATGTGATTCTGCAATCTGTATATGGGGTAAAAATGGGAGCTCATAACCCACTTGAATCAAAGTGTAAAATATGATATATCAAGAACTATGTAATGTTTTGAACAGCCAACAATAAAAAATTAAAAAAAAATATCTGTTGAATTTCAAGTTCATGTACTTTTATTAATAAAATTTATATTTAGTCATTTCCCAAGCATATTTGACCAATTTTATCAGCTTCTACCCCATAGCCATATATTTAAATTCAATTTTTATATGTTTAAATACATTGATCTTATGTTATAGAACTAATACATAAAATTCCTAAAACTTAAAAAAAAAAAAAAAAAGAACTGTGTTAGTCTTTTAGGGCTGCTTTAAGAAAACCACAGGGGTAGCTCAGTGGTAGTGTGCAAAAAGCCTCGGGTTCAAACCCCAGCACTCCTCTTCCCGATACCATGAACTGGGTAATGTTTTTTTTTTTTTTGGTACCAGGGATTGAACTCAGGGGCACTTGACCACTAAGCCACATCCCCAGCCCTATTTTGTATTTTATTTAGAGACAGGATCTCACTGAGTTGCTTAGTGCCTGACTTTTGCTGAGGCTGGCTTTGAACTCTTGATTCTCCTGCCTCAACCTCCTGAATCGCTAGGATTACAGGCATGTGCCACTGCACCCGGCAAACTGGGTAACTTTTAAACAACAGAAATTTATTTTTTTGCTGAAGGCTGGAAGTCAAAGACAAGGCACTGGGAAATTTGGTGTCTGGTGAGGACTGCTTTCTGGTTCATAGGTGTTACTTTCCTCACGTGGTAGAAGGTAGGTTGTCTCTGGCTCCTTAGAAGGACACTAGTCCCATTTGTGAGGGCTTCATGGCCTGATCACCTCCCACAGGCCCCACCTCCTAATGCCATCATGGTAGGCACTGGGTTTCAACCTGTGCTTTGTGGAGAGTGGCATGAATGTCAAGTGCATAGCCGAAGCCTAGGAGATGCCTTGTTCCACTCCTCATGCTTTCTAGTAGAGCCGATGGCCTAGAGAGCCTGCGCTAGCTGCTCTGATTTCAGTCAGTGTGCCATGGAGGTGGGACCTGAGCCCAGGAGTCTTGACTTCTCAGCCTGGGGCTTCAGGAAAACGCTATTTGTTTTAAAAGATATATTTTGATCAATCCTTATGTTCACATGGCTCAATATTCAAATGTTGCAAAAGTCATTTGTCCATGAGCCATCTAGTGCTCCTCCTTGAAGGTAAAAAATATCACTAGTTCCTTCTAGAGATTTTATGCTCACACGGGAATAGAAGAAACATCCTTATGGTGGGGAATAGGTCACTTCTCATACAGGGGGAGCTGATTTCCCAAAGCTCTGTTCCCACACCCACACAGTAACTGTGTAGGGCCTGGGGAAGTAACCCTGGCCCTAGGATGTCCGGGTTTGCTTTTGGCTCTTCCATCTGAACAAGTCCTCTGATCCCAAGTCTTCCCTGGACCAGACTCGGTTCCACATTCCAGGGACGAAGCAATGTAGCTGCCTCAGCTTCAGCACCTCTGAGAGTGGGGAGCCAGAGGGGTGCTGGGACTCAGTGGGCAGGGGTATCAGGAAGGCTTCCTGGTTTCCCCAGCAGCCTTTTCAGGGTAGGTGGAAAAGTGATGGTTGAGAGGTGGAGGACCTGTCACCAACTTATCCTGATGAATTGGAAGTCCCCTGTTCTTGCTTTCCTTCCTAATCTCTCACACACTTGCCCTGCCTGCCTCCCCTCTGGAATTTGCAGTACGTCACAGAATGCTGAGCTAAAAAAGGGAATGTGACTCAAACAAGGGTTCACATTTTATCCTCTTGGTGACTTGATTTTCACATCTGTAAAATGGGGCTAATAGTACCTGTCCTATCAAGTGACTGTGGGGATTCAGGTTCTCAGAAGAGTGCTCAACATGTAGCTGCTGCTCTCATGGCCCCTGCAGATAAGTCGGGCCCCGATTGAGGCCCTGGGACTTACAGTGCTCCCCATGCCTAATGGCAAACGTCTCGGACACAGAGAATAAAACAGAAAGGAACAAGATTATTAGGGGATTGTGTCCCCCTTCATGGCCAGTTGGGTATGAGGACACAGACTCAGCCACTCTGTCTAGTGTCCAGACTCCCTATAGAACTACTGCTGGGGCAGCTGTGGGCACCTTGGTCCAGGTTGGGCCGGGGCAAAGGTAGGGAGGGAGAATGGACTTTTTTGCTTACTATTTATGTTATCTTGGGATGAAAGTCTATCTCCGTCTCTGTGTTGTATCTCCAAAAGTCTGGGGTTTAATTCTGTCTGCCATTTACCAGTGAGGTCACTTTGGGAAATGATTCCTCTTTAGGTCTCAGTTTGCTTATTTGTACAATGAAGCTGAAAATCCCTCACACTGAGATTATTAGTGTAATGACCTGCATCAAGTGCACTGGAGGAGGTGCCCTGTAGACTGCAGCATGCTGTAGAAATGTGAGTTGTTACCCAGCATCTACTTGAGTGCTTCCAAGGACAAGGCACTCATCACCCCAGAAGGTGCTGATTCTGCTGTTGGAGGGCTCTGAGCTGCTGCTAGGAGTCTTCTCTCGTTTCTGTCCTGGACTCACTCAGCCCTGTTGCCCCATTGCTTCCTGGAGAAAGTTCCAGGTCCTGGAGCTACTTCAGCACTTGCTGGGCTGTAGCCAGGAGAGATCAGTGGGGACAGTGCCTGGGGATCCCCACTCTCAGGAACCTCCTTCCGGGGAGGGTGGAGCTGTGGGATGGGGGTTGAGTCACAGAATGGTGCCGCTGTCAGTATACCACCTCTGTGCTTTGACCAGTTAACCGTCCAGAGACTGGGCCTTGGCATCTTCATCTGAGGGTAGATTCCAGGCCCTCCCGGGAAGCTCACTGGACGGCCTGTCTCCCTTACCCTGGTGCCGGCGAAGAGGGAAGCACACAGCAGTTGCTCTATAGGCAGCAGGCTTTCCTTCATCTAAGGCTGGAGCCCAATCTTCCCTGCCCCCCGGCTCTTCACTTCAGGCTCCCACTGCCTGCTGCCCTGGTGACCCTGCAATGCCCCATCTCACACTGAGGCGCTGCTGGGCTCTGTAGGCTGCTCTCCCTAGGCTCCATGGCCAGGGGTTCTGGGATGAGGGGTCAGTTGTTGGAAGTCCACAAACATGGTGCTGACATCTGCTTGGCAGTGGCAATACTCCTGCTGCCAGCCAGACCCCAACCTTACCACCGATATCCACCCAGAGGGACTGCTGTCTTCCAGTCTCCATCTCCCTGAAGCGTCTCAGTCTGAGAGGTGCAGGGAAGAGGCTGTGGGGAGTCGCATGTTATCCAAACACCTGGGGAGGAGAAGGCAAGAGCTTGAAGGTTTGTAGCCCTCAGGTGCCACAGTGTAATGCCCCCTCTGTGTGCTCCAGGAGGGATGACAGCATACAGTGCCTGGTGAGCAGCTTGGGCTTGGCCTTTGTGCTGGGCATTGACTCTGAAGCAAGGTGGCCATGGCAGTGTGTGGTGGTGACTGTTCAAGTGCTGAGCCTGAATGCATAGCTCAGAACCCTTCAGACCACCATACATCACCAAAGCACTGGTGGGGTCTGGGCAACCACAGACATATAAGGCCTGGCCGCAAGTGGCTGGGTGGCCTCCACCTGCCAGGAAGTATGGCACCGCCATCTCTGTTCTATCTCCTTCTACCCATATTTCCCACAATCACCCTTCATCCCTCTATAGCTAATATGTGCTTAATAAGTCAGGCACAGTCATGGGTGTAACTGGGAAGAAATTTGAAAATTCTTTGCTTTTGGGAAGTTTGTCAGCTACGAAGAGTGTTCACAGACCATGGTAGAGGATT